ACGACTAACTAAACGGGTTAATCGTGTTGACCTATTTATGACCCGAATCCATTTAAACTTAACCTAAATAAATTTAGCTCGTCTTATTATGTTAGTGTTGAATGGCCGTGTCAACTTTTGCCCTCCTTAATTAATGGATAGGTCTACTTTTCCTAGTGTGAGAGTAATATATATATATATATATATATATATATAAAAGCAATCCTACTTAATGGATAGGAGTAAACCTATCCTACACTTCATGGATAGGTTTACTCTTCCTAGGTTTAAATAAATAAATAAATATATATATATATATAAGAAAGTGTTGGAGGAGAGATGTAAAGTGATGGTCACAAGAAGGAAACACCACATGAACCAAAAGCGGGGCAGGTGTAATAGTAATAATGGAAAAAGTAGAGGATAAATGCAAAATAGGTTCGTCGTGAATGAGCAGTTGGTGTTGGTGATGGTAGAGACGGGTGTGTGTTAGTGAGGCCCACCATGTCTCTCTTTTGGTTGGTCTTCCTCCATTCAATGACCCCCTAACTATATCAATTATTATTGGACCAATTGTACCATCAACCCAACCTCATGCCTCAACATTCAAACCTTTATAGACCATCATATTTTGACTTCAACCTCATCATCATGTTATTAATAAGTGTAAAATCCAAAAAATAAAAAATAAAAAAATCATATTATATAGGAAATGTGCAAATACCCTCTTATTTTAAAATAAAAAATAAAAATAAAAATAAAAAAATCTCGTATATATTTTAAATTAAGCAATAAGGATATTTTGCCAATTTAAAAAACAAAATAAAAATTAAAAACACTGATTTCATAAAACACTGATTTTAAAAAAAAAAATTGTGGTAAAAAATGTCTGATTTTTAGTATTATTTTGTTTTTATAAGTTCAATACAAAAAGAGTAAATTGGGAGTGGTGTAAAAATACTACATTGACTTTTTATATTGACTTCAACCTCATCATGTTATTAATAAGGGTAAACTGCAAAAAATAAAAAAAAAAAAAAAATCATATTTTATAAGAAATGTGCAAATACTCTCTTATATTAAAAAATGTGAAACCCCTCGAATCTAGAACCACGGGTGATCAAGTCCGGGCACAGACCCGAGAGATACCAAACAATCAATATGTAATTGAACACAGAATATACAATAAAAATGAAATAAAATGAAATAGCTGAAAAGAATTCTAATTGTAAAACCTCCAAAAATAAAAATTTTAATATAAATTAACTTTCCAATCCGTACAACTCGAGAATCCAACTAGTGGACCCCTAATAATCTCAACTGATAAAACTTTACAAGATAAAATCCAAAACTAAAACCAGAAAGAAAAATCCTATTTAGTCGGAAGAGTGAGTGACTGTATCTGCATCACCACGATCAAACCCTAAGCCTGGTACTCACGAACACCTGAAAAATAAAGGTGGGTCAGGCCCACATGCAAGTTCCATCTTACTACAATCCATACATAAACCCGATACGCAAATACATCCTAGATAGTTCGGCAATATCTACAATAGTCCATAGATATATAAATACACACTATAGGATGCTCACTAGCCTATAACATAGTTCAGCCTGGGTAGAAGGTGACATATAAAACACGTTTTTCAGCGGCCAAGTACATAGACCTACCAGGAAACATTAGCTATATCTAGCTACTCAACCTTTGCAATATACGCACCCTAATCGTGATCAGGAGACTCAAGCTCGTATCACGGTACCATAAATATATATATAAATTCTTTCTTAATGCAGAAAAAATAAAACAAACATCCGTTATGTCGTTCAACTGTTTTAGTTGACAGGACATACATCCATGTAGGATTTAACTATTTTAGTTAATCCATTCTGTATGTATGAAAGGGGTAGGACTTAGCTTTTTGATCTAATCCATCCCTGATATGTCACCGTCCCATACCGGTACATATAATGCATATGATCCACACATGATGCACACTCAAAATGAACATCAAGTATATCCAGAAGCAACATAATAGAAATCAGATATAGATAAGCTCCTATCATGCATCCAGTATATGATTATATTCATAGATCCTCCTTTTAAATTGTTAAAATAAGAATAAACAATTTAAACCATCTATTTCCATGTAATTGACAGAACCAAAATTAAGACAGTTCAGCAATTATCCTCCATAACATAATATAATGAATATCAGAATTTTAAACTGCACATTATACTAGAACTCCAAATCAACAAATCCATACTAGTTCGTTTTAAATGATAAAATGATGACTAGCATTTACATCCTTCCAAATCCTTTACGGCATGCAAATTTATAATTAAATCTCATGGCATCTATGTAATTCCCCATTATAAATTCTGTGTCGGATATAACGACACTCCAAAGTTTAAGTACATCATATGAAACTTCAAAAGTATTTTATACCAGTTTCATTTAATTTGTTAACACGAAACTAGCAACTAACCTTCCACTACTCCCGACATAGATATGAGTACATGACGTCATAACCAACATTCCTGGAACTGAACTATGCTAAATATATCATTGATATAAATTCTAACAACAATTACAATGTCAGTCCAAATTAAGTTGTCAAAACAATTTAGCAAAATAAGTATTCCTCATTCCTTGACAGTAGGCCTATTATAAGCTTATGTTTTATGATATGCATTTAGGTTTAGCACCTTAGCATAAACCAACTATTTGAAGGCTTTAACAAGTTAATTTTAATCATTTAAAACCCCCCATCACTTTCCAGTAATTACCTTTAAGCCCCTGAACTTCAGAAAAATTGCAGAAAACACCCGTAGGGGTTTTTTTTTTTCCATGGGAGCCGGCTCCCCTTTATTGGAGCCGGCTCTTAGGCTTCTAGAGCCGGCTCCCCCTCATGGAGAGCCGGCTCTCTCTTCATGGGAGCCGGCTCCCACCATTCGGGAGCCGGCTGTCCCCCTTGAGAGCCCCTCTGCCTCGTCTCTACTTCGTCCGATGATTTTTCTGCGTTTCCGGCGAAGTCCAACGTTCCTGTCCCAAATATTTTAACATTCCTAGGGTTCAATTTAAATTCTTAAAGCCCTAGAAACTTCTCATCATTCAGCATGCATTAATTGACAAAAATCTAAAACAAAAATAAAACCGTATCCAAAAACGCCAATCACAGTTAACTGAATATATGAACAATCTAAAGTCTGATCACATGTGTCAAAATTCCATTTTAAAGGTTAATTAACTTCCTAACCATCCTAACAACACCTCACATTCCATTGTAAATTAATTTACAGAGGTTTAATACATAATCTAACAATTTATGCAAAGAAAGCCATCTTCAGTTATTATACGTTAACCAAATTTCAGACTAAACTAATATGCATAAAATTTGTTTTTAAAGTTTTAATTAAATTCCTGGAGTCTATTTAGAATGCACAGAACACAAGTTTACAGGAAGGAGAGAATGAAACTTGCCTCACGATTCCGGTTCGAAACCTTCATAGACGTCTCTAAGTTTCAAAATGCTTTCCAAGACCTTCCTTCCTCTACTCACTGCTCTAGTTCTATCTTTCCATCAACCTCTTCCTTCCTCCTAGACATGAGCTTAAAACCATAGCCAAAGCCCTTTCCCAGTGCCCTTCACGTTTTTCCCTCACCTCTCTGTTTCTCTGTTTTCTAACACGCGAATAAGGTGTCTCACAAGAACCCTTGCTGACATATAATGTTCTATATATATATATACCTATGAACAACCCTAATCCTAAGTCCATCCCAACTACAAAGTCGGCTATCCTATCTACATCAATTAAAACCCTAAACCTAAAATATACACAAACACAGTATTAAACCAAAGATGTCCACTACAATAAAAATAAAAAAAATTAAATAATAACATTTAAAACAAATAAACAAAAAGGAAGCAAATAAATAAATAAATCAAATACATCATTCAAAACACATAAACAATTTTCAATAAACACCATTAAATAAACATAATTAAACAATTAACAAAACAAAACAACTAGGTCATATAATTAAATAAATTAATCAACGAAAAACAAAAAGTAAATTTTTCATTCTATCCTTTTTGAAAACTAGGGATATTATTCAAAATTAAATCCCCATTTTATCCTTTTGAAAACTAGGGGTATTACAAAAAAAAAAAAGAATTCTCATACATTTTTTAAATTGAGCAATTAGAATATTTTGTCAATTTAAAAATTAAAATACCCTTAAAACAAAATAAAAATAAAAAACTACTGATTTCATAAAACATCGATTATTAGACTTTAAATAAATTTTTGTGGTCAAAATTGTCGGTTCGGGGGCAATTTGTACGTTCAACCTCATTATGTTATTAAAAAAAAAAAAAAAAAAAAACCATAATACTCCCTTAGTTCATGGTTTTAAATATTATTTTGTTTTAATAAGTTTAATACAAAAAGGGTAAATTAAAAATGGTGTAAAAATACTACATTAACTTTTTTATTTGGGAGGGGAGACTTGAACACAGGGCACACAGGGAATTTTGTCAATTTGAAGACTAAAATATTTAATGAACGAGTGCTTTATAATGTGACTCAGAAGCTTAAGTTGTTAGGTAGAACTAACACTTAACCCGTTTATACCCGTTCACTGTTCACTTTTCTATCTGAATTGGATGTGGGACAAGTCCCCACTCGTAACCTTAGGGTATATATACCAATTAATGAATTATGCTCATATCTACTTCTAAAAATGACTTAATGAAAAAAAAAAAATCATTAGTTATTTATCAATTTTCTCAAATATACATATATATTTTAAAAGATTGTATAAACATTTTATAACAACACCACCTACAAATATTTTTAACATTAAAAATATTTTACGTCAAAAGAAATGGAACCTTAATCCAATTCCATTTTAAAAATTGAAATTATAAAATAAATTGTGATTCGAAATTATAAAATTTATGGTATAATTTAGTGAACTTTTATGGATAATTTACTTTGTATTTTTGTGGATCAAAAGTACAAGTTGGAAGGGTTTAAAAATAAAAAATAAAAACTAAAAAATTATTGTGCATGTGCCAAAACAGGGTTCATGGATAATTACAATGAGATCAGCCTCATTGTAAGTTTTCTCACAAATTTAGTTGAATCACAAGCGAGTGCCCCTGAATGCTGCCAAATTTACTCTGACACTCTCTGTCTCTTTCTCTCTCCTCTCTCTCTCTACTCTGCTTTTCATTGAAAATCTCCAAAAACGCAGTGGTAGTATTTGTGTGTGTTAAACCTCTTTCTTTCTCTCTCTCTCTCTAAGATTTATCCACATTCTTATATGTCTAATCTCTATTCTGGTAATAACAAAGCTATTTCTCTCTTTGGATTTTTCTATTCTTTATAGTCTTCACTGTACTTTCTCTCTCCTCTTTCTCTCTCTAAAATGACGATGGCAGAAGAAGGGTAGCAGCTTCCTCTTCTTCTTCCTCTCTGGAATGGCACCGTCTCGTCGTTTCTGTGCAAATGTCAGACTTCGCATTGCATATTCTCTCTCTCCCCGGCGCAATTCGTGATCTCGTCTTTCCACAGCACTTCCACATCTCAGGTGATTTTCTTTTACTTTCTCGGCTTTTCTTTTCTTTTCTCTTCTTTTCTTTCTATGAATCTGTTGAATGTGAACTTTCTCTTTCTTTGACTTCCTTTTCATTTCTTTCTTTCTTATACATTTTGGGAGTTATTTTTGTGTCATTGTTAGATTTGTGTGGACTTCTCAACCTGCATTTGCCAATTTCAGGTTTTCATTCAGAGATTCAATCAGTTTGTGTTCTTAGAATTTATTTTTCTTGTCTAATTTGTTGAAATTTTCAAATATATATATATATATATATATATATATATATATGTATATTTTGCAGCAAAAAAGAACTACTGATGCATTTGATTTTCGATTAAAATTTGTGGTCTGTAACTGCTTCTTTAGTAAAGATATTTTGTGTATCTCTCTCTCCACTCGCTCCTTCAATTGTGGCAATAAAATTTTGAACTGTAACGGTTTTCTTCTCTCTCTCTCTCTCTTCCCCTGAAATGTTGGTTCAATTCTTGCATCTTTGATCGTTGATCCTTGCATTTTTGTACTATAGTTTGTGTAATTTAGTTTAATTATTTTCCTTAATAATTTCACAGGGCGACCGAGATACTTGTATTTTAAATTTTTTTTTTAAATTTTAAAAGCTTTAGTTTTGACTTCGAGAAAAAAAAAAAAAAAAAAGGGTTCAAAACACAGTCTTCGTTACAAATTTTTCTAGGCAAAAACTTGTTTTCTTCAGCGGTTATGCATTTCTCAAGTAATTTCACATGCAATGTAGCTCTCCGTTGTTACTGTTTGTAATTGTAATATATTTTTCTGGGATATGTGACAGGACTGAAACATTTGGCCTCTTACCTATAGAAGGAGACTAATCAATTGATACATGGAGCAGTATGATGTTCTAGAGCAAATAGGAAAAGGGGCTTTTGGCTCTGCCCTTCTTGTAAGGCATAAACTTGAAAAGAAGAAGTAAGTATGAAATTAACATATTGTTGTTTTTTTTTATTCTTTTTTACAGCCATATATATCACTGAGTATGCAAAAGATAATATATATATATATTTTGAAAATTTATTTTTCGTGGTTAGTTTTACCTATTTTTCTTCTTCATAATATTAAGGTATGTGCTGAAAAAGATTCGTCTTGCCCGCCAAACTGATCGGAGTCGTAGATCTGCACACCAGGAGGTTTGTATTTTTTTTTTATATCATTTCAACTAATTGAATTGTTTAAATTTCTTCCAGATTTGATATTTTTTGGGACTGTTTTCTTTCTTAAATTGTTTTCAACTGGGTTATGGTACCTGATTTTTTTTGCATTTTAAGGTAGCACTTGACAATGAAGTTTTACTTGTGTGAATGTGAAAACTTATGTGTCAAGAGTTTGAGAAAATATCTGTTGTGAAATATTAAAGGTTGAACTTTAAAATCACTCACTTATAGTTAAACACATCTCTGTAAGTGGTCCTACCAGGTCATTTCTACAAAATCAGGTTGTTTGGTTGTGGAAATAGTGAAAAAAATCACCGGGCAGACAATCCTTTGAGCATCGAATATGAGGATTTAAGTAGAAGTCACACAAAACCACGAATGCTTACTACATTCACACATATGTATATTAATTTACACACACAATCAAGCTGTTTATGCTACAACTCGAACCTCTGATGTGGTATGTAGTTTGGATAAATAATGTTTTTAGACTCCTACAAACTGACCTCCTTTACTTGCATTTTGTAGATGGAACTTATCTCCAAATTTCGGAATCCGTTTATTGTGGAGTATAAAGATTCCTGGGTAGAAAAGGTAAGTGAATATTATGTTTTTCATTATTGATCATGTTCAGTTGACAATGGCATCTTCCATCCTTTTGTTGTTTAATGGTCTAAAAGGCTGGATGAACATTTAATTTTCTTATTTTGTTGTTTTTTCCATCCTCCAGCACTGAAAAAGTACTCTTAACTCTATTTCTTGTTTGGTCCAACTTTCCCATTGACTGCTGGTTCTTACAACAAGAACTGTGTTTTAATTGTATATTATCGACAGAAAAATGCTTGAAGCTATTTAGTTTCATTCACTCAATGTCATAAAGCATAAATATGTTACCAGTTTATCTCTTATTATTCAAACGGACGTTCTATTATTGGGAAAATTATATCTTATGCCCAGTAGTTAAGAATACTTAAATTTTTTATAGTGTTTCACAAAAAAAGAGAGAAAATCTGTCATGCCCCCAAATTTATGTAAGGAGCATCTTGTCCAATACCTGAACTTGGTACATGACTTCAATCCAACATCAAGTAAAACCATCTACAACAACTTATATAGAATCTTTACCGCCATCTAATAATAATATTGCATAATCCAAAATCCAAAAACAAATGCAATATACCAATAAAATCCAACTCCAAATATAACATAGTTTTCCTTGTTACAAATGTCCCTTATGGTAGATAATAAACTAAAATAATAAAGTAGCGAAAGAAAACTTTAATACGCGAGTGCCTCTGTTACATGTACCTAAAAGATAATAGAAGGGTGAACTCACAAGCTCAACAAGAACACTGCTCAGCAATTTGATTTTGTCTTACTTTCCCATATATAAGAGTAATTCACCTTAATTACATTAATCATTTTAAACTCGTCTTAATGCTAGTTATATATCTCATTAGTTATTATACTTAATCCCAACTGCACACAAAAGTTGCTATAACTTCTTTAATCTCAATGAGTCTGTTAGTTAATCAAATCGATTAACTTTTATTAGATTTTCACTTATTAAACACATCCTCTACTTCTTCAGTTAATCCTATTGATTAACATTTATTAGGTTTTACTTTATTAACCATGAGCCGTTCAACAAATGAACAAATTATAGGGTCATACACTCCTATACTCTCACTCTCTAAACAACTATAAAATGATTCAAATTTGATTAACTTAAATTAATGGGATCATGCACTTCCAAATAGTCAGGTCTTGATCCATTCCTAATATAGTCATCATAGGGTTAGTACTAGTCTTTCCCTCCGACCAACCAACAGTATCCAACAACCTTAATTATTAAGTGTTATTGTAGTTTATTAACAATTAAATGCATATTTAACCAATTAACTGTTCCATATCGATTTCCTTTTTTTTCCGAATATAATACCAATACTTTAATAGGTGTATTTATCATGCTATACTATGTTTTTATCTTAGTTCTATTTTATTCCCTTTAATGGGTTTTAAGGGTTCTAGTTGTAATGGGTGGATGCTTCGCGATCCGATCCAAAAGCCTAAGTTATTAAGTGGGGCTAATACCCAACCCATATATACCCAGTCACTCTCCCATCCGGATCCGATGTGGGACAAGCTTCCCCTTGTTACATTCTCCACCTTGTTCTATTTTATTCCCTTTAATGGGTTTTAAGGGTTCTAGTTGTAATGGGTGGATGCTTCGCGATCCGATCCAAAAGCCTAAGCTATTAAGTGGGGCTAACACCCAACCCATATATACCCAGTCACTCTCCCATCCGGATCCGATGTGGGACAAGCTTCCCCTTGTTACATTCTCCCCCACCTGAACTCGCAACGCCCTACTTGCGGTTGGGCCACCCTGCCTACCCAGATGGCATACCTGGATGCCTCCAGGCCGGGCGCTTGGTGTGACACCGGATCAAGGACCGAGTCTGGCTCTAATATCAACTGTAACGGGTGGGTGCTTCGTGATCTGAGCCAAAAGTCTAATCTATTAGGTGGGGTTAACACCCAGCCCATATATACTCAATCACTCTCCCATCCGGATCTGATGTGGGACAAGCTCCCCCTTGTTACACTAGTTCATTAGCACATTTCCTAAAGCAGTTGACTTGGTCAACTTCAATCATGTTCAAATCGATCGTTGCATTGAGTGCATACTCAAATGTTATCTCATATGATTAGACACATAATACAATAACTACATTATAACCAACATTGCCCACTGATCACTTCGCGTCTTATACCCTACCAAATTAATAAGATGGTCTATAAGCATAAATTAGAGAGATAATGGTACTTAAAAACCACTTTTTCCATCTACTCTAGGTCCATATAGTATTTATGACCTAACGATCTGTGGATAATTCTACTTTTGGCTTAAACATATTAAAGTATTACTTTCTGAACTGTTGCACAAGTAATCAACCTAAATCTATTTTGAAATAAAATTATTTGACTTAATTTGTTAAAATATATTTATTTATAATTCATTATAATTTTCTATAATTTTAACTATTTTCTCTCTCTCTATTTCTCTAAATTTTAATTAATTAAAAATCCATAATAATTTTAAATTTCTGTTGGATGGACGGAGGGTGGGCCAATCTTGCTTTTCTTGGCGAGTGGGTCTGGGAGGACCTAGCTTGCCACCCATGCACCACACGTTCACCCCCACACCCTATGCCCCACCCCTGCATGTGGGCATGTGCATCCCAACTGGGTCGTCTTCTTCAAATTTTTCTGCTCGCCTAAAAACCCTAAGCAACCATTTTTGTAGTCTTTTCCAAAGTTTTTTCTACTAATTAACCTCAATTCCAAGCTCAAAAGCAAAATTAAATTTAAGATTAATAATATAATCCTCAAACTGACCCACTATTGAGTACACTCAAGCATTTAGTCGATTTGTTATTGTGTAAGGTGGTCTAGTGTCCTAAATTAAGGGTTTCATACACGTGCATATGCCAAATAAACCATGTTGCCGATAAAATTCACATATGATTTTGGGAAAATTACTTATCAAAAAAAAATGATTTTGGGAAAATTACAAACATATGAACTTAAGGGCTCCTTTTTATGCTCACATGAAGTCAAAGTTTCCAATTTTCAAATAATGAATTCTTCACAAATGCTGATGTGGAGATGAAAAAACACTATTTTTTTTTAAGTGCCCAATCTGTCCTTTTTACTGTTTGTTTCAGTTCTGTGCTTTCCTCAATATGATTCAATCTACTTCAGAATAATTGCACGTGTTATGCCATTGTTGGATGTTACACCTTACAATTTGATGTCTTTGCTCTAAGGGCTGCTACGTATGCATTATCATTGGTTATTGTGAAGGAGGAGACATGTAAGTAACTTTTCCACTTGAAGTTACAGGGTTCATTATTCAAGTACCTTTTTATGAAGTACTCATACCAGTTTATTAACATCAGCCTTTTGCTGTTTTACAGGGCAGAAGCAATAAAGAAAGCAAATGGAATCCTTTTTTCTGAAGAGGTTTTTATTAAATATCACTTAGTTTTCCTTTTCCTCTTGCAGTCGGGTCCATTTTATTTTACAGGCATTTACGTACTCTTGCCATGTTGTGAATTTTTTTCCCATCAAAACTCCACTCTTAGGGAAAGAAACTTTCTTTAGAAGAGTGCATTTTGTTTGCCATTTCTGTGCATTTTATAAGTTTATATTTGTATTTCTGTTATAATTCTCCAAGTTCTTTGTCTCTGATTTTATGAATCTTAAACTGTTTATAGAAGCTTTGTAAATGGCTTGTTCAACTCCTAATGGCGCTTGATTACTTACACTTGAATCATATTCTTCACCGTGATGTCAAGGTCAGTTGCTTATATATATGTTCTTGTAGGTATCAGTTATCTCTTCTGAAATCTCTGAAGCTGTGTGTCACTGATTGTATTATCCGATTTCTTACAGTGTTCAAATATATTCTTGACAAAAGATCAAGACATACGCCTTGGTAGGTGATTCTTTTCTTTTCTTTCATTTTCTTTGGAGAGAATTTTACTGAATTACCATCAATTAATCCTGTTGCAGGTGATTTTGGACTTGCCAAGATGTTGACTTCAGATGATCTTACCTCCTCTGTAAGTGATGTGGTTGTTATAACGATTCTATCTCTCATATTTCACGTTTATACTATTGTTTTAGTGGTGACGTTTACTCTTTCTAACCTAAGGTTGTCGGAACACCCAGTTATATGTGCCCTGAGCTTCTTGCTGATATCCCTTATGGCTCCAAGTCAGACATTTGGTCTTTGGGTAAGATATTCATTCATATAACTGTTCATACATATATACTGAATAAGCAAGTTGGGACCTGACATATTTATAAGTTTTTTTAGTTGAATGTGCACTCAGTTGTCTTAACTTTATGTTATCTAGGATGCTGTATCTATGAAATGACTTCCCATAAGCCCGCATTTAAAGCATTTGTAAGTTTCAAGTACCTTGCCCTTTCATTTTGTATGCATTATGTGGTATATTTTAGTGTTTTCTGCCACCTTTTTGCATATGTAGCCTAACTTCTTTTCATTTTGTAATGCATTATGTGGTATATTTTAGTGTTTTCTGCCACCTTTTTGCATATGTAGCCTAACTTCTTCTTATTTATTTATTATTATTTATTAATTTGACTATTTAGTTGCTTATGTTCTGAGAACTACATTGGAGATAGGTCTATCGTAATTTAATGTGCTTTTTACAATGTCCAATTACAATATCTAACAATTTTTATCTAATTTTGGGACTGGTGTATTTGCTCATTTTTCTCCATAGAAGTCTCATTGCTGTGTTGGATCAAGCACCTGTTTGTGACCACATTTGGTGCTGTTATCAGTGTATTTCTCGTCTAGGCAGACTATTTATTGGCTGCATTAAGCCTGGGCAGACCATCTACTCACTGGTGGACCCACAGAAGGCTTAGATTCCTTTTATTAGTATGCATATATTTTTAGAATTGTAAACATTGGGTCCCTTAAAATTGTGTTAAAAAAAGAAAAAAGAAAAAAGAAAAAAGAAAAAAGAAAAAAAGAAACTCTTTAGTCTTAACCGTTCCATGCCCTTCATTTTTGAAATTTTTAGTTTTTTCTAACCCACTATATGCTTCTCTCTTCCACAAACCACAACAATTCATCTCCTCTGCTCATGATATTGATCTCTCTTTTCCTCTCCAAATCTTTCTTTCTCTAAAACAAAAGACAAATAGAAAGAATTACAAAAAAAAAAAAAAAATTTAAGGTCAATTTTTCGACACTAAGCAAGTATGTAGAAACCCTCATCCTTTTCTTTCACCTAATCTTGCTATTTTTGCAGAATATAAATTAATTTTGGAAAAAGAAAAAGAAAAGGAGCAATATTTTTTTCAAACCATGATAATTACTTGAGGAAAAATAAATTTATTATAAGAGAATATTAGAATCAATATTTAAGTTGTTTATTACTTGGTTCAATTTATTTTTATTTTATTTATTTTTTATCTAATCATTATTTAAGTTTGCCCCCTCTAGAATAAATTATTGACTCTGCCACTGCACCTATTTGTTAATGGTTACTTTAAGCCTAAGTGGGTGGCATAATCCAAACATTGACTTGGCAACAACAATAGGAAATTTAGTCACTATATAACCTAGTCACTTAGCTAACAACAAGAGTTGGCCTTTTGGTGGTTTACCTCTCCTTTGTGGTTTTATTGGTTGCCAAGCATTATGGTATGGCATCTGCTAAATGTTAAGCAATAGAACTAAATTGTTGTTATTAAAGATGTTGTTACTGTAGATCACTAGTTGTAGTGCACTCCTACCTAGTGATTCACAAGGTCTGCCTTTATTTTGTTAACACCATGTGTCATGCTATCTAGCAGATTAGAGAGTTCTTCAAGTTATCGAACTCTGTACATAGCTCAGCAGTTTCTACTTTAGTGTTTCACTGCTCCCACCTTATTATTTTATTTTATTTTAGAATAACTTGTAAATTGTGGCTGCACTAAAAAAATCTGCATTTAGTTAACTGTGATTTATAGAGTGTGATTCAGTTCTTGCTTTGTTGGTCTGAGTTAGATTTGTCACTTGGTGCAATGCTTGATTACCTGTATGATCCAGACAATGGCTCATGTCATTCTGAGAAGATAATATTGATATTTTAGTGTGCAGACATTACTGCCTCGCAGATATATTTCTTTTAGAGATTATTGCAGTAGCATCTTTCATTAATAATACTTGCAATTTGCTCTGTATGAAGTATAATATATGCCTGCTAAGCACCTTTCTAGTTTATTTTGCATGTTTTATTGGGCTTTAAGTAACTGAACAGCAGTTATGCTTTTGATTTTTCGAGTAGGATATGCAAGCACTGATCAACAAAATAAATAGGTCAATTGTGGCACCTCTCCCAACTAAATACTCTGGAACATTGTAAGTTATTTTTCCTTTTTCTATTTTTTATTTTTTTATATTAGTATTGTGGATGTTCATATGGCCAGTATATTTCTTGTAATCTTGATATTCCCTCTTGGATATATTGAAGGACTTAAGTTAATACCTTGCACGATTAAAGTTGATGAATGGTAATACATGGACACTGTAAGATAATTAGGTAACAGGGTCATTGAAAATAAATGGATATCCTCATTCATAATGCGCATGATATTTGTAATTTTTGCCATTGAGAAGCACTTTATATATAAAAATATATATTCTAGCCTTAGTTAGTGACAAACTAATTCTTTGGTCTTTTTTCGTTTTTCAGTCGGGGTCTCGTCAAAAGCATGCTGCGGAAAAACCCAGAGATTCGGCCAAGTGTAATTACTGTTCTTTGACCTGCATTTCACATAAAATTTAAATGCATCACTAGAATTGGTTGATTTGTCAATGCCTAAGATAACGAAAACAGTACGTTAGATAGCACTTAGCAAAATATGTGATTCTTCTTCTCCCAAAAGTGGTAGATACAGCTAATCTTTTCAACAATAATGTGCCACATCATATTAAAATGCTGCTGCCATCATCCCCTGCCCCCAGACACTGAAAAGAAAAAATAAAAAGAAAAGAAAAAGTATGGGTACTTCAGTAAATAACATTTAATTCTTATACCTTTAGAAAAAAAAACGTTTAATTCTTATGCATTTACAGGGGGGAAAAAAAGAAGTGTGTTTTTTGGCATGAAGACTTGGTTACTGCGTTTTTTTGGTTCGCTCTCTAAAAGCTTAAGTTGTTAGAGAGGGTGTAACTTCAATAAATACATCCTTCACAACACGCCCCCTCACGTGTGGCCTTCTTTTGGTCCAACACGTGTTTCAATTTCAATTATCAGAGTAACGGTGAGGTTTGAACACAAGAACTGCCTGCTCTGATACCATGTTGACAATCATCTACTCTAAAAGCTTAAGCTGTTAGAGAGGGTGTAACTTTTTTTTTCCTAATTGGTACTCACACACATGTCTTCACTAAGGCTTGAACCTCTGACCTCCCTTTGGGAAGTAAGGGCCTGATACCGCTAGTCCACTGGCCCGTTGGTGAGAGGGTGTAACTTTAATATTTAAATCCTTCACCAAGTAGTTAGTTTGATTTTCCTCCTTTTGTTTCTTTTCTTTTGTTTTAAGTGATGGCCATTAATCTGTCAGCAATCAGACCCCACATCACAATGAAAAAGGCACTGCTGCTGTTCCACCTGGGACAATAAAGAATAAAAAGGCAGTGTTTTGTTTTGCTTTCTGAAACTTACTTCTGCAAAGAAGCAAAGTAATGTATTTACTGATTTTCTTCACATATATAGAAGATTGTTTGCTAAACTGAACGCAGAAACAGTATTTCACTAGAAACAAAGAAGCTTATAAGGTATGATAAGGGTAATGGCGGTGCTAGTAGAGGCAACGACATTATTAAATGCAACAATTTTGGTTAGGCAGTAGTGATCTGGGGTATTGAATTTGGCTGAAATTGTTGGCAGGGCTTGGGGGTGGGGTGGGGAATGCCTACAGCCTAAGAAGTACGGAAAAGGACATAGATATGACACAAGATGGACACGGCAACATGGGAAATCCTAAAAATTTTGGACACGGATACGGTAGGGACACGAATGATTAATATATTATATATATATATATAATGCTGTATTTTAAGAAATTTAATATTTATTTTATCAAACTAATAATGAAAAAAAATTGTGTTTTGCTGGGAAAAGAAAGAAAGAGAGAGAGATGGTTAAGAAAGAGAAAAAACAAAGAAACAAGAGGATTATGGTTTTGTTTGGAAAAATATTAGGGCTTTATTAAAAAATAAAGGTTAGAATACATATAAGAGAAAAAGTTTATGGAAACAAGAGGAAAAAGGAAAAAGAGACACGAAAAGAATTTTTTGTGAAAGGAAAAAAAGAAGTCTCTAGGGTTTGTGAAGAAGAAGAAAGAAAGAAAAGAGGAGGAGGAAGAAGGAGGAGGAGGAGGAGGAGGGGAGAGAGTGACTGTCCACCACTAGTGATTCTAGAGAGGCCAAAGTTTTTTTTTCTTTTCTTCCTGAATGGGGTATTTTATAAATTTAAAGAAAGTTACAGATCAAAAAGGTGGCATACCTCCTTTTACAGAAAAAGAAAATGGAGCAAGCCCATTTCCAATAATTGGCAAAGGCAGGAGAATAAAAGCAGCAATACATCAGGAATTAAAAGCACTTAAGAGATGTATAGCCTTAACATCATTTGAGGCTTGATCCCTAACCCCATAATGAAGAGAAGAATTTCTTGCTGCCCGTATCTTCCAAATTGTTCCAGAGAAAATGGAGCACAAGATCTTGGATTTCAGAGTCTGACTGGTGGTATTCTGAATAAACCATTCCACAATGTTGTTCAAAGAGTTGAATGGAGGAGGAGTTACTTGCAGTAGCTCAAACAAGCTGAACCAGATATTTGAAGCAAATGTACATAAGCAGAAGAGGTGGTCATTAGAATCTTCATTAGAGAGACAGTTGTGACAGATGGCAGAAAGTGATAGGCCCTGTTTCTTCAAATTCACAAAAGATAAATTCTTGTTGTGTAGAATTTTGGCCACACTCACAGCAATCCTGGGTCTACAATGATTCCGGCAGAGGGCTGGCCATTTGAGAATCTGACTTCTGACCCTGCAAACTTTCCATACTGCCTTCATAGAGAACTTACCATGCTTCCATTTGATAATATCAGGACCATTTTGAGTGCCCAGTCTTTGAATGTACTCTCTTGCCACAGAAGGGAATGAAAGAGGAAAAGCCCAGCTACCACATTCAATGATAGAGGCCAAAGTTGATCGTGCAATATTTTGAACCTTTGAACTAAAAATATAAGCCCAAACATCTAATTGGGATAGTGGAAGAAGTGGTCTCAACTGGTAATAATAGATAGGTAGTTTAATATAAAATTGTTCTTATTGTTAGATTACATTGTATAATATCCTAGGGTTTACTAGGGTTTACAGTAGCCGCCTTCACCTACCTTGTTACCTTACATAGATAACTTGTGGTGCACTCACCTACCCCCTTTCCTCATCTATATATCTATAGGACTGTAATGTACATTGTTTATTCACTTCAATACAATATACAGTTTCTCTCTCTTATTTCTAACACTTATAAACAACTTCTTTTTAGTAATGACCACCATATTACAGAAAGTTATTAAACAACTCCTCATATTAACACTTCAACCCAGCTTTCTTTCCAAAACTTTCTTAAAAATCCCCATGGATGTGACACACATGTTGGACACGTATCCATAGCGTGTCCATGCCGTATTTGCACTGTGTCTGAATATTAAAAAATAAAAAATAAAAATCGGACACATTTTTTGGTGTGTTCGATATGCTTCGGGGCGTGTTGATGTCCGACACGGATTCTTTGCCCTTTTAGGCATGTCCATGCTTCCTAGCCTACATCAATGTTGATGGTATGATTGCAAATAGGGAGATATTTTGTTTTATCTTTTTCAATTTTTATTGTGTCACACAGGTAATTCCGATTGCGCTTCCCTATCATTATGTGTTCATGTGACATTGAGAGTACTGATTGAGCATGTTCTATCAAATAACTATCATATATATTCATATTTAAGTACATTTTGTGGTCATAAAAGTAGTGGAACATAAAACTAGCAAGCTTTTCGTGCTGATGACAATTTAAAATTCATTACGCATATTAAGTAATCTCAGTAGCTCCAAATAGAATTTCATAAAATCATAGTAAGTATTTTGAACCTAATTTAATGGCATTATGGATTAAAACATGTGTCGGTACATCTTGGGAAGCTGTACGACAAAAAAGTAATTCATAGTTGGATGACCGTGTGCATGATGTTACGTCCATTACACCCTCCCCTCATTACTGCTACTGTTTGCATTACTGCATCCGTTATCCTTACTTAAAAGAAGATAATATTTTTCTCTTCACCTCTTGTAAGCGATTCACTCTTCCCAAGATTCACCTTGAGATCCAAAAATTGCTGCATACACACACAAAAAAAAAAAAAAAAAAAAATATTGCACCCCAAATAAAATATACCTCCTATCTTTGTGCTTAAGTTGTCCATTATTACCACTCTTTTTTGTTGGGTCGTAGGGAGAAATTATAGATCCTTAGAGGAGATTGTTGATTTTTTGGACTCTTTGGGAGTGTAGAGGCCCTATTTGGCCTTGTGTAGTTCTCTTGGGATGCGCTCCCCTTTTGAGCTCTTTTTATTCAATTTTTACTTATAAAAAAAAAAAACAAAGAAAGTAGTTGAACTCTGGCCTCAAAAAAAGACCCCACTTGAACCCACCAAAAATCCTGAAACGTCCTTCTTCATATAGCATTATCCAACATTGACTCAGAGCCTCAATCTCCAATATGAGTCACTGAGGGAATGAGTTTCCCTGCCTCTAACCTCTAATTCTACTAAAAGAAAACTGGTTGGACAACCATTTCATATAATTGAAACCCTGACAGACAAAATACAAGTCTTCATCTGCCTTATTTGCCTATTGTTAAATCTCATTCTATCCTTAAAAATACAATAGATGAATAGAAAGCCCCAATGTTTACATTATTGTAGGCTTTCTAAATATCCAGCTTACACAGCATACCTCTCTCACAACTGCTTAGCCTTGAATCCGCACATTCTTTAGCAATTGACAGTGGATCAAGAATCTATCTACCACTGCAAAAGCTAAATAAATTTAAAGATTATGAAAATAAGAAAAAAAGTTTCTTAGTTTTGTTAGTTGAATTTTCTTGTTTCATTTCATTTTTCTTTGCTTCGAAAAGATTATTACATTCCGAAATGCTTAGAAAGTTGTTGTCTGAGATATTGTTTGATCAGGCTCCACTGAATTCATTATTGAATAAAATTAATAAAAACCAAGTAGAAAACTATACACACTGTTTTATTTTTGATAGAAAATCAGAAGATGGAAATTATATTAGGTTGGTTGTTCTGCTTTCTGGTACTGATGGTCACAGTAAAGAAAGTGTTGGTGGTAGGGGCAGGGGTGGCAGTTTTAGTAATTGCGGTGTCAATAGTGTAGTGCCAATGATAGCATGGGTAGAGCAATGAGGCAATATGAAGTGGTGGTGTTGGAAATGGTTACAGTGGTTGTCAAAGGCGATCATGATGGCAGTGGCTCTTAAAGAGGATTTGACATGTATAGGCTATAGCTGTGTGGTAGAGTCTACCGCGGGGGTGACATTGCAGGCAATGGTAGTAAATTCTTGATGCTCTTGTCACGGTTGGTATGCTAATGATGATGATGATGTCGTATTATGTGGAAAATAATAGTTTTTGCTTCCAAAAGCAATCAGTCTCCTTCCACCAAAAAGTATTTTTTGTTTTTTTTGTGTGTGTGTGTGCATGCGTGGATGTGTAAATTTTGCTTTCAGAAACTTATTTTGGAAGTCTATTTCCAAACACTAAGTTTGCTTCTCTGTCTCTTTATGTTCAATAGCTAGAAACTAATTTTAAGATGCACAAGGCCTTGAGATATTGGAAGTGGCACTCTTTGTTCTTAAAGCAAACAAATGCTTTGCATTGAATATTACAAGTAAGAAAAGTACTTTTGTGATGCAAACTATTTCACAATGGAGTATGGACCAATTGGATAATGTCTTCAAGGTGTCTAAAAGCCCCCCAAAAAAGAGGTGACAAAATAAAAGCAAATTAATGGACAGCACATGGAAGGAAAAGGCAAGATTGTGTTAAATAATATAATTTCAGAGTAAGAGAAAATTAATAGAATTAAAATTGCTTGCTAGATAAAAAATTTAATTGTTGCTCTTGAAGCAAGATTTTCCTCTAATTCCAGTGCGATCACAATCAACAATGCACTGCCACTACCGTTACCTTGATCTCTACTTCTTTTGTCGAGGAAATCACTACCATCAATATTTTATTTCTCAAAAGACTCCTTTTTTTCTTTTCCTTTTATTTTTCTTTTTCCTGTTTTCCTAGCGGTACCACAATAAATAACAACAATAGTATAAACATGTCAACCACTAACACAGCCTTAACTACTTTTTGCACTACCTTCACCTCCTTTTCTTGCTGCGATCTTTCATTCTATTGCCACCATGCTCACCATTGAACATTGCAATCACTAGTTCACCAAAGCAGGTCCAAGAGACTGGCATTGCCTCTATAGGGTCACACATACTGTAACACAACCATTGTCGAAATTTAACCAACATTTGCATTTTTTCTTTACAATAACATGCAATATTATCTAATCCAATCTACAAATGTGATTTGAACCTTTAATTTGTGGCATGTGACAACAATAAGAAAGTGGTTTAATGCTTTTATGGCTTCTCACAAGTAATTTACAAATTATAATGAAATTTTGCCCTTAGCATATTCCACTCCTGAAACAAAGGAACTTCTTATATTATGATGTGGCATCCTTCGTTTCTCATGTGATGTGGTATCTTAATCTTATGTGTATCGTCATTTGGCAATTGCAACAATTATAGGGCACACACAAAGGCATACTTGTCTACCAGTAAAAGTTTGTGCAATTTATCATTTAAAGTGTGCGTTTGTGTGGCAGGCGGCAGAGCTTCTAGTGCACCCTCACCTTCAGCCTTACGTTCTAAAGATTCAACACAAAATTAACAGCCCCAGACGCAATAGTTTATCAGTCAACTGGCGGCCGGAAACCAACTACATGAAAAAAACTAGATTTACAGAGCCAGAAGATGTTCGTCTTACCACGTACAGAGAGAAAAGGCAGTCATTCAGCAATGATAGGACTTTGAATCCAAGTGTATCTGGAGCTGAGCAAGATACAACATTTGATAAGAAAATTACTCCAAAAGCTTCAGATATTGTCAAGGCTCCAAAATTGACTCCAAGGAATTCTCCTGCTACTCCTAAGAAACTAGCAGAGCTGTCAAAGAATCGCGAATCGGTAAGATTACAGATAGTATTATATATATATATTTCTGTGTGTGTGCATATACATATTTAATTATTTTGTTTCTGCTTCTTGTTACCTAGTTATTTGATTTAGTTAATGGATATATATTGAAACGATACAGGTGCATTGATTTACCTGACCCTCTTAGTTGAAATGCCAATATATCTGGTTTTTGAAAAAAAAAAATCTGACTAGTTTTGTGTTGTATATTTTGAACTATTTCAATTGTCCTGTGGCTTAACTGATCGCATATGAAAATGGGAAATATATGTATATCAATTTAGCTAATTTAAATCGATATATAGAAAATTTCATTCATTTTTTATATTGAATTGTTTCTGTTGCATATTTTAAATTCCTTACTTTGCTTGTTATGCTTAGGTTTCAGGATACCTTGGCGTCTATTTGCTCCTTGAGCCTTAAATAACTGTGTTTTAGAATGAGTCATTCACATGGTGCATTTAGAAGCAAAATTTGTTTTTTATGCTAAATTTATAAATGTTCCCTTTTGGAAAAAATATTGTAAACTTTAAATATAGAGAGTGAGGGAAGAAGAGAGGAGGAAATAAAGAGAACATGATAGAATATTGCCGGGAAGATTGAAGGTATGATGATATGTTGACTTGAGAATATCTTCTTTTCAAGAAGCAGAAGCAAATAAAACTTGCAATCTAAAATGGGGGGGGGGGGGGGGGGGGGGGGGGGGGAGGGAGTAAAAATGAATTTAGATTGCATCTTAAAGGTAAGTTAAACTGTTAAAGTTGAAGAAAATGTTGTAATACCAATTGGTAAAGATTACATTTTGGAAATGCCATTCTAGCCACACCCATCATTCAGTATTAACAAAACTAAATAAAATAAATTGTCCCTATTATTTCAGTTAGTTACATGAATCATATTTTGCCCCATTTTTTATACTAAAGAATTCAACTATTTTTAAATAAAATTTATTTCTCTGTTTTTCTTTTTGAATTTCAAATCTTCTTTCTCTTACCTGTATTATTTCTTTGATATTAACATCTAAAACTGTTAATGTAGGTTGTGATGATCTCTTCTGGCATATATATTTTGTAGTCATTGCATGTTAAATGATCTACTCTTCTGGTTAGAAAAAAAAATAAAAAATCAAGTTGACTTTTTTTAATTCACTTCTCAAGGTTATTAAATGTTGTTCTCTCTTAATTAATAGAAATTTGCTATCATAAGATTATATGTTACCACAAAGGATAACCTAGTGATGTTCATATCTCCAAATTTATTCAATCAACACTGCATCTCATGTGGTTTACAATCTTTTTCTATTCTACGTGACTATTATATCTCTTCTTTGATCTTTCTTGGATTAATACTTTTATGTGCTCGCGAAATTGTGCTTGTTTAGTCCTAATTGGGATTCCCAAGTATTAACTATATTAACAATACTCTTTCTTAGTAACAACTTTAGCAGATGTTAACTTCTTTTAAATTCTTATCAATTATTATTCCATTAGTGTGTAATACCACTACCACCTCCACCCTTTTACCCATCAATGCTCCTATACTACTGCGATACCCCCGGATTTCTGGATGCGGGTTGGCCAGGCCCATGCCCGAATACCCGAGGATATAAAAAACAAATCGGTAATAATCGAACACAGAGTACAAAATAGATAAAAAAGAAGAAATAAATTTCTGAAAGAAAACTAAAATGATAATCCATTAATTGAAACCTCAGAATAAAATTTCATTAAATAAATAAATATTCTGATATATCCAATCCTCCAAATAAATACAACTCGGGAATCTATACTAAGTGGACCCCTAGAAAATCCCAACTGAACAAGTGACAACAATAATTGTCTACGTCAGAACACTGGAACGTAAAAGAAACTCCTATGTAGATAATCCGGAAGAATGAAGTAGACTGATCCTTGCTCAGCACAAACAATCTTTACACCTGACGAACACCTGAAAAATAATGGTGGGTCAGACTCACAAACAAGTTATACTCTACTACAATCCAAGCAGAGACCCGATACACGTATACATCCTAGTTAATCCAACAATAGCTATATAGTCCATATATATATATACGCACACTAAGGGACTCTCACTAGACTACAAAGCGGTCTCAACTTGATTAGTAGGCAATATGCAAAATGCACCTGAAGTGGGCATGAGTATCTAGACCTAGCAGTGTACACCACTAACCATCATAGCCAGCTATGCATCCCAGTGCATGTACGCTCCCTAACCATCATCCTGAGACTCAATCTCATATCATAGCTCATAACTATATATATATAAAATCCATCCTAATTCAGAACATAAAATAAACATCCGGTATGTCATCCAACTGATTCCGTTGACCTGACATGAAAATATGTAGGATTTAACATTTTAGTTAATTTATTCCGTTAGGTTGGACTTAACGTTTTTAGTTAATCCGTCCCTAATATGCCACTATCGCATACTGGTGCATATAATGCATATGATCCATAAATGACGCAACATCCAAAGTAATACATCAAATAAATCCACAGTTGATGCAATAGTTATAATATTACATCAAATAAATTTAGAATTAAGCATAATAAGATCAGACCAAATACGTGACCATATTATTCTGCCAATGTATGATTAAAATCATATAATATCCATATTAATTGCTAAGTTATTTTTAAGCAATTAATTCCTCCATTCCATCTAATAATTGATGAAGAAATATGTAAATACAACATCAATTACATCTAGAGATAAGCATAATAACAGTGAGACAATAACTTAGTTTATTACTGCTAATACATGATAAACATTATATAATATCCATGAAATTTCTTAGAACAATTTCAATAATTAATTAATCATTAATCAATATGCAAATTTAACTGAAATTTCATATTAATCACTTCTATCACCTATAGGTATGGATTAAACATTCTAGGATTTTAACATGTTCATTGTAGTCATTTAAACCATCCATAATACCCTGCACAGCCCTGGAACACCCAAAACCTCAAAACAGTAGCCGAAAATCCCAAAATATTAAAGTAGCAGCGAGAGCAAGCTCTGTCCTCGTGAAAGCAAGCTCTCGTCTTGAGGGAGCAGGCTCTCAACTTCATAGAGTTGGCTCTCTCCCTCTGATAGTCGTCAAAATAATTCCCTTTTGGGAGCCGGCTCTCACCCCTTGGGAGCCGGCTCTCAACCTATTCTGCATCATCTTCCTCGTCTCCAACGAATTCCAATCCCTCAGTTCTCCATTGTTGATGGTCCTAAGAGTTTGAACTAAGTCCCGAATCATTCTAGTAATTTATATAAATCAATTATGCATCATTAAAATCAATTAAAACAAATACTCATGGCATAGAAGTCTAAGGGAAGGAGTAAGAAGAAGAACTTGCCTCTAGGTTTCGAAATGAAGCCTATCAAAATCCATCATTTAAAAAAATTAAATAAAACAAAATAGAACATAAATCCATTATTTTATTTTAATCCTAACAATTAATTACAATTAAATCACACATCATTTAAGCAAGTAAAACATCCAATTAATACACCACACAAGCACCCAATTAAATCAAATAAATCACATAAACAATTAAGACAAATAAGCATATAATCATGTAACCACATAAGCACATAATCCCGTAAGCACATAAAATACGATAAAATAACTAATTAAATCCCTTTTATATCCTTTTGAAAACTAGGGGTATTACAACAACCAAGTCTCCGTTCTATGCCTACTTTCTTAAACTAACTTCTTTATTCTTGCTCGTTCATAATAACGAGGGAGTCGTTGCCTGCTCTTCACTTTATCCTAATATGAATGTGTCTTAGGGTGTGGGTATTAATGATGCATTATAAGCAACGACTGCTTGTTCATTTAACCTGCTTAAGCATTCCATAGTCACCACTTGCTGGATTTGATCTTTCACTTCACAAATATGGAGCTTTCCAACAGTACTAAGCTCTAAAATTTCCTTCTTTCTTGGGTCAGTCAGTTTTTATGGTTTTATTCTTATATGGTATATGCTTATATTTGCAGTTTCAAGCTTCACGAACTCCAGCAAAAAAAGCTGTTCCCACAAATCGTAGAGCATCATTGCCATTTCCTACAAGAGCTGCAGTTGAAGGATCACCTTGCACGCCCTATATTGGAATTAACTCTCCGGATGTTTCTGTCAATTCCCCTCGAATTGACAGGATTGCTGAATTCCCAATGACCTCATATGAAAGTCCCTTCCTCCCTGTTCGTAGAACTTCATCAACCTCTGCACAAGGCTCAAACTCACCACCACAAGGCGACCATTCGATCTTGAAGGATAAATGTATGGTTCAGGTGTGCAATAGAACCTTTGGCAGGCTGAGTTTCACCGATGCTTGGCAGGGAATGGAAGGCACGGCATGCAAGTTGGATGGGGAGGACATTGGAAGTGAGGGCTCTAATCAAAATGCTACAGCCGGGGCATCAAGTCGAACCTCATCAGACTTGCGCCGCAGGCGATTTGACACCTCATCTTACCAGCAGCGAGCTGAGGCTTTGGAAGGGTTGCTTGAATTCAGTGCAAGGCTGTTGCAAGACGAAAGGTTTGACGAATTGGGGGTGTTATTGAAGCCGTTTGGGCCAGGAAAGGCTTCTCCCAGAGAAACTGCTATCTGGTTGACTAAGAGCTTCAAGGAGAACACAGTGAAGCAGGAAGATCAATGCCAAGAACACCTGACACAGGTACTTTAATTGTTGCTGTAACAAATTATAGAGTTTACAGATTTTATTATTGGCATTGAGATAGGCAATATGGATTTGATTTTCGGAAAAAGGGAATGAAGGAATAGGATTTTTTTTTTTTTTGAATTTGTATGTAGGTAATCTGACATGGGCATTTAGGATTCTGTAGAGGCTACAAAGCAAATGCCAGACTTCTTTTCTTTTGCCCGTTTTCTTAATTCTGTGTTATGTTTGGGAGCGCAATACATCCTCCAAATTTGAAGGTGCTGAATGAAATTTATGTGAGAGGGTGTGGGTCCAACCACAAAATGTCAGAGTGATATCATGAGGTGGAGTCCCCTCACAACGCCATCATCTTTTGAATTCCGAAAATGTTTCATTTTTCTTCCTTTAATTCTATGTTTTCCTTGCTTCCCTATATTCGCTAGTTTTTAAAGAGGGAATGATGGTAACAAGAAGTGCAGGCTATGTTCATTTTTCTCCCATGTAGTTCTATATCTCTTGGCGGCACATTCCCATGTAGTTCTAAATCTCTAGGCGGCGACGGCGACTGCGACTTGGCTTTCTTGGCATCCATGACGCACAAACAAATAGAAAGCGAGCAGAAAAAGATAACAGAAAAGACGACAAAAAAAAATCCATAAAATGTAGCAAACCAATCTTCTTTAATATCATGGTTTGGATCTTTAATATTTTGTAAGAGATGTACTTGTTCCACAAAACTCTTAATAAACCACACGAACAATACTATACAGGCGACCCATACACAATGAAAAACACAATGAAATACCAAAACTCGCTATTAATCATCCAATCACTAGTACTCCTGGACCCGTCCTCCGAGTTAACATCCTCCATGTCCTCTGCAAAATTACAAAATTAAAAATTTATTACTCACAAACAAACAAAACAAAAATCACTCTTAAGTGTCTCCTTAATATATATATATATATATATATATATATATACACTACAAAGGAAGGATAATCCTAATCCATTTTGACCCCAGAAAAAGATAATCTCAATCCAATTAGGAGAAGTCAAACTTCCTTTTCCTTTCTTGTTTTGAAACGTACAAGAACAACACTGATTTATTTATTGATTTATTTATTATATATATATATATTATTTTTACTTTTTGGTAAGTAAGAATTTTTAACTTTTGCGCTGTGTGTGTGTTTTTTTTACACCCAAAAAAAATAAAATAAAAAATAAAAAATAAAAGGAGGAGACCTTACCTGCAGAAGGAAGCCGGAACAAGCTTGGCAAAGTAAAGTAACTCTTGATTCCTGAATTAATGGCTTCAGTCTCGTAGGGCTGGAATATATATATATATATATATATATATATATATATTGTATTAGGAGGTTTCATAGTCACGCTCACGAAATCTCTCTTGCCGAAATCCACGCTCACGAAATATCTCTTGCCATAATAATTTTAAACAAATATCTTATGTGTGTGTGTATGTGAATAAGTTGTAGTAGTAAGAATTACAATAATAATTAATAATTTTTTTTTTACAAAATTTGGTTCTGGTAGAGCGAGAGGCCACCTTTAATCCCATAGATAGAAAATTTTGCAATTATAAAAATAAAAAAGGGTTAATATCAACAAAAAAAAAAAAAAAAATTTTCTATCAAAATCGTGCACAAAACCTCCACTAGAATCAAATAGGTCGACCCATTAAATGAGTTGTGAAATGTCAAATTTACTGTTATTCATTGGGTAAGAACCTACAAAACCATTAAAAATAAAGTATATTCAGATAAAATAAAATTTGAGAGATAGAGATAGTCAAAACGTTTCTTTCCTTATTTATTTGGATATCTTTAGCAAGAAAATATTAACGATTTAGGTAATTACGTTTTTTTTGGTATCTTTAACGGCATAAAGAAAACAGGACGATTTGATCGGAAAGAGTATCATTACTCTCTCTAGTCACAAAAAAACTTTCTTTATATGACAGAGGAGTTAACATTATCATAATGCCCCAAAACTCCAGGTCTAGAAATCATGACATTTTAGTTATATTGTCTCACGAAATCTCTTTTGCCGAAATTCACAATCACAATAAATATATATATATATATATATATATATAGAGTCCTGATCTCTTGTTCCCCATGGAGTAAGAAAAATAATCCACACTTTCTATCTAGAAAAATAATCCACACTTTCTATCTAGATCGTTAGATTTTTACAAATCCACCTACCCTCACCCTATTTTCAGTTTCTATAATTAATTTTATCATTACCACCCACTGTAACAATAAAAGGTAATTATCAAAATAAAAATAGATACCTTTCAAAAAAAAATCTATTCCCGTATATTTTACTAATAAATTTGTTTTTATTTAAATGTTTCTTTGAAAGAAAAACAATACCCGTATATTGCTACGAGGCTTGATAGTATCTGGGGTGCCTGGTTTTTCTTCAGTTTTTATTTTAAACCAACTTTGAATGAGAAATCAAAGAGTGACAAATTAGACTTAAAGCTTGATGTTTTCATGGTTCAGCATGATATAGAGAATATGCATATATGGGTTTTCAAGGAGAGGTCTAAAAATGTACTGAAAAAGATGCAATTGAGATGTTAAACGGTGTGCGCGATTCCGGAATTTAGAGGTGTTTCATGTTGTTTCATAACCAAAGCTTTCATGAAAAGAAGTATTATTGTTATAGTTATTTGTGTGTGTATGTGTGAATAACAATATTATACAACTGAATAATGGAACCATATGACATTGACTCTATTCAAAATTGTTAAAGCTTAAACTAAATAAAATGAAAACAAAAAATTTAATCTCTTCATAAAGCGATGAAACTTAACAAAATTTAAAAACATTTAATCCTCAAAGCCTTAAAGTAAACTCTTCCACGACAAATAAAAGTAAAGCTACAGGAATTAATTTTTTTTCAAAGATTTCTATTTTACCTTTTATAATTACCTTTTTATTGTTATAATAGATGGTAATGGTAAAATTAATTATAGAACTAAAAATAGGGTGATAGTGGTTTTGTGTTAAAAGGAAAGATCATGGTTGGGTTTGTAAAATGACCGTTAGATTTAATTTAACGGTCTATGGATTATTTTTCTTGCTCTATGGGGAGCAAGAGATCAGGACTCTCTATATATATATATAGATAGTCTCACAAAAATATATATACAGTATCACGAAACCTCTCTCGCCGAAATCCACTCTCAGGAAATCTCTCTTGCAACCACAACCCCAGCCAATCAAGTATATAACCCCAGCCAATAAAGTATAAACGACAGGAAGAAAAATTGGAGGTGATTAATTGTCTCCTATGATTATGTAAAAATATAAATTTATAATATAAAAGTGTCATTTCTCTTATAATATGAAAGTGCCATTTCTCCTCAGTTGAATGGCATGCGCGCGCGCGCACACACACTAGTAAAACACGAAATTGACACGAGATAAAAATATATAATTTTAGATTAAACATTATAATATGAATTCAATTATAGATAGGTGCATTTTCAAACCCTTAAAACAATATCAAAATCAAGACTATTTTTTATTACAATCTACTAATATTTTATTTATTTATATATTAAAAAATTATTTATATATTATTTATAAAATTAGAAAATATGTATAGAATAAATAGATTAAATTATTTATATATTTTTTATATAGTTCCTTTATCTATTTCCTTGTCTAATTAGAAAAACTAAATTATTTTTTTTCTAAGTATATTTTCTTATCTAATTAGATTTCCTTTTATTAAAAAAACTCATAATAAATAGGTAATTTGATTTTTATAAAAACTCTTCTAATTTGAGTTTTATAGAAACTCTTCTAAATATCTTATATTAATTTTAAAATAAAAACTCATAGTAAATAGATAATTTGTGTTATTTTAAAAGGAAACTTACATACTGAACATATAAATTTATTATTAAAAATAATATACTATTGCATGTGAGTAAAATCTAATTTAAAATCAATATTTAATTAAGTAATTAAATAATTCTAAATTCTAAAATAATTGACAACAAGGTAAAAGAGATAAAAAAATATAATTTTTAATTAAAATTTACAATAGAAATTCAATTATTGATAGATGTATTTTCAAACTACTAAAATAATATCAAAATCAAGGCTATTTTTTATTAAAATTTACTAATATTTTATTTATTTATATATTATTTATAAAATTAGAAAAGATGTGGAGACTAGATAGACTAAATTATTTATATTTTTTATATATTTCCTTGCCTAATTATAAAGACTAAATTAATTATTTTCTTTATATATTTCCTTAACTAATTAAATTTAATTTTATTAAAAAATCTGATAATAAATAGGTAATTTGAGTTTTATAAAAATATTAAATTATTTATATCTTTTATATATTTCTTTGTCTAATTAGAAAGACTAAATTATTTATTATATATTAATATATTTTCTTTATATATTTCCGATCAGTTAACCAAACCGATTCGATTCGATGTTACCTCAATTATATATTAATATTACATATATATACATATATTTATTGTATTTCTTTTTATTTATTTATTCATTATTTAAGACTTTAAGTAAACCCTAGGTCACCAAAGTCATTAGTCATTACAAGTTTTTTAATTACTAATTTGAAATTTTAATGGGCCGTAAAGTGTAATCATATTGGGCTGTTTGAAAAACTCAATCCATGAAAACCGAACCGATTCGATCCATTATTTCACGGATCAATTTGGTTCGGATTGATCCCAACGTATCGGTTCGGTTTCAAATTTCACTAATTTGTGAGGACTAAAATGAATTGAACTTTACCTTCAAACTGAACCGATCCGATCCGTAATCAACCTTAATAATAATAATATTGTGATAATGGCCGGAGGCCAGACCAATTAAAACAAATTTAGGATGAATTAGTTAGATATAATTCATAAATAAATAAATACAAAAAAAAAATAAAAAATAAAAAATAAGGCATGAATACAATAAAATAAAAGGTAAAGTGCATAAAATTCACCTGATCTATTAATCAATTTCACAAAACCAACCTAAATTAAGAACTGTCCCTTAAATTATTAAAAAAGTGCAGTTAAGAACAAAACGTCAAGTTGTCAAAATATGATTTTAAGTAGATAAATAATACTGGATTTCTTAAAGGCTATTTATTTTTATTTCAGATTATAATAAATCCAGTCCAAGCTAACTATGTTTATATAATTTTATGGCATTTGAAAATAAAAACATCCCAAGTCCCACTTACTCTTTGTTTGGAAATTTGGAATGCAGGATTTGATGGGATTTGGATTTGGAACGATGGTCTGCCTTGTTTGGAACCACACAATCAGACCATTATGGAATTTCAAATACCTTTTTAATTGCGTCTCAAATCCAATCTAATAATATAAGATTTGACTGAATTTGAGAAATAAATATCTATTAATTATATATTTCCTTAATTAACCCTTCATCTTATTCCTCTTATTAAACCATTCTTCTTATTAAACCCTACCCTATAAATTATTATTAAACCCTACCCTATAAATTATCTAGTACCATATCTCATTCTCTAAAGATTTCCTTCCTCTTCTCTTATTTAACTAAATCCATGTTAAGCATCAGCCGGAATAGTTTAAACAGAGTTACCCGGAGAATGAACTTCGGGAGATAAAGTAGAAATGAATATGATAAAATATAATAAAGTAGTCAAAATGAATGAACACGTTCAATAAAAAAAGATTTATTCTTTTTTCCCGATTCTTTTTTTTTTCTTACGACAAGACAATCAAATCTGGATTCGCATATATTTTGAACAAAACATCAATATAACTTCTACTTTTCTTGTTTGATTGTTGGGAAGAGATAGGTAAGAAAAAACACCCAATGTTGATACCCTCAATGTGAATCCTCTAGCTCATTCTTATTGTGACAAGCTTTACTCTCCACCTTAAGTCTATGATTTAATGCAGTCCTCTACCCTAGTGGAAGCAGAATGGGTTCGAGCTCAATACTCCATATGATCAACTCTTTATTATGTTACCAATCCACCTCAATCCTAGGCATATTGATAGAAAAGAGAGATAGAGAGATAATTATGTTACGTTTGGTGTGTAGGAATGGAATGGAATGCAAGTGGGAATGGAATGGAATGGAATGAGAATGGGAATTGAATGCAATGGAACGACCATTCTCATTCTATTATTTGATTGTAAATATGAAATGTGTAGGAATGGAATAATAATAATCATTTGGTTGAACCAATTTAAAATTTAGAAAAGAATAAATTTCTAATGGAATTCTCCAAAATATCCCTCTTAGTAACAAATAAATTAAATTAACAAATGACATTCTCTAATAATTTTTTAAAAATAAATGGTGGCAGTGGCGGTTGGTGAAAAGCGGTAGTGATGTAAGTGGTGGTGGTGTTGGAAGGCGATGGTGGTGGCAATGGTGGAAAGTGGTGGCAGCGGTGGTGGTGGAAGGTGGCAGCGGTGTTGGTGGAAGGCGGTGACAGTAGTGTGGTGGAAATAATGGAGGTGGTGGTGGAAGGTGGGTGACGATGCTGGTGGTGGAAGGCGGTGGTAGAAAGTAGTGGCGGTGGTAGTAGAAGGTGGTGGCGGAAGTGGAAGGTGGCGGTGGTGGTGATGGAAGGTGGTAGAAAGCGATGGCGGTGGTAGAAGGTGGCGGCGGTGATGATGGTGTAAGGCAGTGGTGGTGGTGGTGAAAGGCAATGGTGGTGGCGGTGGTGGTGGTGGCAGCGGTGGAGGTAGCGGTGATGAAAGGCGGTGGCAGTGGTGGTGGTGGAAAGTGGTGGGCGATGGTGATAGTCGGTGGTAGTGGCGGTGGCGATGGTGGTGGTGAAAGACGGTGGTTGTAGTAGTGGTGGTGGTGGTGAAAGGCGAAGGCGGTTGTGATGGAAGGTAATGGTAATTTTTGGACTTGGTACATGAGGGTTTTTTTGGAAAGTTGAATTTTTTTAAAAAATTACTCGGGAATGGAATGGCCATTCCATGGATTTTGTTATGAAATGAATTTTCATTCTAACGGAATGGTCATTCCTACTTTAAATTGCATACTAAATAAAGGAATGGTTGGGATGGACATTCCATTCCATTCCATTACTATACACCAAATGTATTCTATTAGTTTTTAACCATTTGAGTCTTTAGCTTACCTAAATTATAATTTACAATTTTTTTTTTTTTTTTTTTTTTTACTTGGTTACTTTAAATATCTTAAACCTAATTTATTTGATATACTTCAATTTTCGCTTTTCGTAGGCAGCTTAGTTTACTTTTTTGTATTTTTTTAAAAATATATTGGTGATGGTAATCGAATAAATTTCATGTTTTAGAGTTCTTTGAAGTCGTCCTTCAGTTGTTGATGTATATATTTTACAATAAAATAAATATTTCATTATTTATTTGAACACCAACAAAAATAATATTATATTATTTTTATTTAAAATACTATTTTAAATCTAATTTGTTTCAAATCTATAATAGTGGAATTTCACTTTTATTCCTTTTCCTTTTCCAAATTCTTAAATAATGGGTAAAGTGCAATATATACCCCCCTCTACCTAAAAACCCAAGGGCGCTGATATTTGCATAACCCTAAATCCCTAATCCCTCTCTTTCCTCAGTCACGACCTAATCTGATTCAAGCAAAAGCATCGGCGACGACGACTATCCGGATCTCATCACCCCCAACACAAATTTTCTGGACCGAAGAAGGCCGAAAAAGTAAGATTCGGGAGCACACTCGCCAACAATGGCCGGAGAAGAGCTGTCCTTGGAGTATGTGAAGCAGTACAAGGTGAAGTGTCCCGATGAACTTTCAAAGATAAAGGTAATTAGAGACAGAATTTTTTATTTGGGAAACAAGGTGGGGGAGACAATTATTTTTGTTCACTCAAGAAATAGTGCGAGCATGTTGCATCAAGCACTTGTGGAACATGGTTATGGGGTGACTACTATTCAAGGTGCTCTTGATCAAGATGACAGGAACAAGATAATCAAGGAATTTAAAAATGGATTGATTCAGGTTCTTATTTCAACTGAACTCCTCTCCCGGGGTTTTGATCAAGCAGAGGTGCTCACTTTTATCTCTTTTTACCTATTTTTCTTTTTACTGCACAAAATATCGACATCATAACATGTTTTATTTCAGGTTAGTCTGGTTGTCAATTATGATCTTCCTGTGAAGTACCAAACTCCATCGGAGCCTGACTATGAGGTATACTTGCATCGGATTGGCAGGGCAGGACGTTTCGGCCCCAATGGTAATTTCTTGTCTAAAAGCATGAGATAGGTTCCTCGAGATAATTTTATGCATGAAAATTTCTACTTGTGGGTAATGTGCTTTTATAGTAGCTGTAGAGTCTATGAGCTTGTTGAAGTTAGTGAACTTTATAGTTGCATATATAAAACCTGTTTCTTTTTAGGGCCCATGTATTTTGGCTTAGGATTTCAGCTGAACTTTTTACCTATTTTGCTCAGTCTTGTCTAAAGAACTTCAGCTTTATTTTTGTGTTCCTGCATGCAATCCAGAACTTGGGGAGTATCTTTTGGTATGTGAGTTCCCTCTTTTGTGGACATTCCACGTGATCAGCCTGGCCTAACCAAAACATTGTGTGGAATTAAGGAAGAACTTCATATTGATTAAGTATCCTATTGGTTAGGATCTTACTTCCTGGAGTAATGAATCAGCTTCTAGCCACCTGTCAAAGCCTCACAGGGTGACGCCAACCTTGTAGGTTGGATTTGTAGGCTTGTATATGAAACCAGCTAGTTGTTGCCGGCTTGTTTATTTTTTATGCTCTCCTTGTTCAAGTATAATACTGTAATGTAATATTTGAAGCCAATTTTTTCATCTCAGAATGAAGTGCCACTCCCCATTGTGCATTTGCTTCATTGTTGGTAGAGCCTATAATGGAATATTAAGCAATATTTGTTTCCTGTTTTGTATTTAATTCTACAGGAGCCGTATTCAACTTGTTGTGCTTTGATGGAGATATTTTGCTAATGGAGAAGATAGAGAAGCACTTTAACACCCAAGTGGACGAGGTGAGACTCCTTTTATGACTTAAAATAATGTGGGGAAGGATTATGGAATACTTTGGAATCCGAAACTAGTTTTAGGAGTAGCTGTAGTAAGATTTGAAGTTATATGTTCCTAAACTTTTCTAGTAATAATACAGTATAAATGTAGTAGTGGTAAGAAACTTTGATAGTAGGTTATATCACCACCTTATGTTGCTGCTATGTAATGCAGGTCCCGTCCTGGAACAGCGAGGAGGATTTTGAGGCTGCTTTAAAAAAAGCTGGTCTCTTTTAAAGATTGTGTCTCATTGGGAAGATTATTCTTCCAACCACATGTGGTTTGGTTTATCTGGATGTAAATATCAGCCCCCAAATCAATCAGTTTTTGGATGTTGGTTTTGGGTTTAAACAGAATCAGTTTTTGGATGTGGTTTTGGTTATCTGGTACTGTTGGATATTCGGTTATCTTCCAACCACATGTAGTTATTCGGGTATATCAGCCCCCAAATCAATCAGTTTTTGGATGTTGGTTTTTGGTTTTAAACAGAATCAGTTTTTGAAGCCGATGTTATATAAGTGGGTTATTTGTTGACTACATTTAATCTAGTCTCTTCTATGTTTGGTTGGAATGCAAGCCCATTGTAGAATTGATAGAACAGTTTTCCTCACATTTTTAATAGTCATGTTTGCTATGCCCCACCTCCTCCCTTTTTTTTTTATTTATTTTTATTTTTAATTATCTAATTCCTTAGTTGTTAGTGTTATCGAGAGTTTGTGTGATCGGGTCCTCCGATCGTGGTTGTTCTCCTCTTTGTAGGAGTTCTCCTTCCCGATCGTGGTGGTTCTCCTCTTTGTAGGAGTTCTCCTTTCTATGGGAGTTTCTCTACTTGTTAAGAGTGCTTTCCTTTCTTTGTTGATCTCTTTTCTTCCTCCCTCCCCTCTCTCCTCTTTCGTCCTTTCAATTGCTTTCGTGATCGGTTCTTTCTGCAAGGTTCCTTTGGTGTTGGGTGATGTTCTATCGATCAACTTGGGTTTGGCGTTTTTCAATTTTTAGATTTCATGATCCTCTGTACACATGCTTTGTGGTTCTCTGGTAGTGTAGGTGGTTTGATTCACAAGTTCCTTGGCTGGCATCGGTGTTGTGGTCCGGTGTTTTGTGTTTTTCTTTTTGTCTCAGGTTTTCGATTTTGTCTCTCCTCATGTCCGTTGCTTGTGGATTTTTTCGACTTTCTAAAGTGTTGTTCATACATTTTTCAATGATCTCAGTATATCAAACACAAACAACTCTTCAATTTCGTAACTAATCTCGATCTTGAATTTCGAACTTTAAAATACAACTCGATCGGACTTGTTTTGATACCGAAAAATTGTGAAATCCTAATTGAGAAAACATGTTTATATAGACTTTCAAAAACCTAGATATGCTTGGAAAATAAGGTAAAATCGTGCATAGGATTTAAGAAGGAAGCTTAGACCAAATAAGAATCAAAACAGAACCGGTACTGGATTTTGGCTACCGGTTCAGAATGTGCGGAGAAGAATTCTCTTTATAATCAGAAGTTGGCTACGGGTACTAGATTTGGGTACCGGTTCCCAATGGACAGAATAGAATTCTTTTATTTGGCTTCATGTTCCCAGTTCGAAATAGGCCGAATGTAAACTTCCTAAGAACTTCAAACTTCCAAAACTTCCTAAGTGTTTTCACACACTCACATACCTTTTCAAAACATTGTTCTCATCATCCCAGAGTGTTTTAAAATATGAACACTTGAACTTCTTCATTCTTCAAATCCGCTTCCGATCTTCAATTTTGAAATTCTGAACCAAAATTTTTTATTTTTTTTTATTTTATAATTTTGAACCAAAATATTTCAACTCGATTGGACTTGTTTTGATAACGAAATTAACCAATTACAAAATATATATATCTCACAATCTCCCCAAAATATATATAAATATATATATATCTCACAGCCACTACCACTAGTACTGACTAATGCCATCATCACTACTACTAGGACTACCACCAACCCCAACACGGCTGCTATCACTGTTACTGCTATTGATAGTAGTGGTACTATTTATAGTACTGTTACCACCACCACCGTCGCTGTGAATATAACCACCACTACGAGTACAGCTGCCACAACCACAAGTTGCTGCTGCTGAATCAGCTCCCATAGGTGTTCGTTTCCTAGGACCTAGTTTGACAAATTCTCGATCATTTAAGAACCCTTGGCCTAATTCTTTATATAAGCACTGAAACTTCCAATTGTGTGCTACGTTTTCAGGTTCAAACATCCATAAATTCTATGGGGTTTTAACAAAAAAAAAAAAAATCAACATTTTGACTTTCGGACCCCTTTTAACTCAGATTGCATTTAAGAATGTACGGACTGTCACTCAGTGTCCTTCTCTCACTGTACCCTCCCTCTAGTCGGCCCTCCTCCTTACCCTTGCTTTCTTCTTCTCCTCTGCTACTTCTACCTAAAACAAGACCAGTTCAACAGCCCCAGCATCACCACACGCAAGTAGAAAACTGACAAATTCTTTAATGGTATTTCCATCGCAAAATCAGGCGATGGTTTTTGGTATTTATGTTTACATTCGATGATGGATGGGGACTGGCAGCAGTGAGAGTCGGCATGGTTCATTGCTCTGTGGAGAGGTAGTGGTGGTAGTAGAAAGGTGGAGCCAGTGGTAGTTGTCATGGAAGAGGAAGGAGAGGGAACACAGAGATGGAGAAGAGAGGATGGAATTCACATTGGGGGAAGTTTTTTTCATTTAATATTCTTATTGGTATATTTTTATTTGAATATAATTATAATACATATTGAGGCTAAAATGGTCTAGAACATGAAATATATAGATGATAATGATGGATTACACTTTTTCAGATTTAACTGATCTTGTAATTTCATGTTTTGGACAGTCAGAGCTGGGGGTTACTGTTTGTATTTGGAGGCGGGAGGCGTCAGTCTAACAAGATTACTGTTGTGTTGTGTTTCAAAGCAATGGATCCACTCATTGAATTGAAATTAGAGAAGATTTAGTTTAACATTCCAATTTTAAAGGGTGTAGTCAATATCCTTTATCATTTCCTCCAAGAGAAGGTGGTTTTTTAATTCTATGAAATTTTCTAGAATAATCTTTTCTTTAAAGATACAAAGAAGAAGAGTGTGTTTCTCTGAGTGGTTAAGGTGCAATTGAAATTGTTTTGGAATTCTAATTACTTGGAAGTGGATTTTTCAATCCAAGGAGGAGATATGTTGGGTTGCATGAAATTGTTCCACCTCCATTGTCGTTCCTTCATTCATTCTCTCCCTATATATCGTCTTCTCACATGTGTGTACTTACTATAATCAATCAATCTTGTGCTATACTTGCTAAGTTAAAGTAACAAAAAGTTAAATCTCGTAGTAGTAATTATAATACAATTTAAGTGCTTAAACACCGATTTATTTTCCTTTCTTGCTTTGGAAGGACAAATATATATATATATATATATATATATATATATATATATATAGTCCTGATCTCTTGCTCCCTATGGAGCAAGAAAATTAATCCACACTTTTTATATAGAACGTTAGTTTTTTTTTTTTAAACATAAAACTACTCTCACCCTATTTTTAGTTTCTATATTTAATTTTACCATTATCACCTAATTATCAAAATAAAAATAGAAACCTTTGAAAAAAAATAATAGCACTATATTTTACTTAAAAAATTATTTTTATTTAGATGTTTCTTTGAAAGAAAAATAATACTGGTATCTTTCAATTTTGCAACAACAGTATGATATTATAGTTTTTTTCTAAAAAAATCTTATTGTTCTCAGTATAAGTAAATTAATATACTTCTTTAGTATAAGTAAATTTATCAACAAATATACTGTATTATTGCATTTTGGAATATCGAATTGATTTATTAGACTTGAAATTGAAGAAAATTTCATTTAAAGTTTAAACAAAAATTCTTTTTATTTCAATTTGAAGTTAGGCATTTGGTGAAGTTCATTATTGAATCTGTGAATTTGTGAGTTTGATTATTGGATGATGATGATGTACTGACTATGGTGAGGATGTAGAATCCACCTTAGAAACAATAAGGTAACCAAAAAAAAAAAAAAAAATGGGTTAAGATCTTCTCACAACCTTATCCATGGAGAGTAATCATTTGTCCACACTTTTATCCATGAATTCAAATTCAACGCACAGAGAAATGGAGAGAGAGTTGATAATTACCTTTTATTGTTACCTTTTATTGTTACGTAAGTAGTAATGGTAAAATTAAATATAGAAACTAAAAATAGGGTGAGAGTGGTTTTGTGTTAAAAAGAAAAGCCAAAGGTGGGTTTGAAAAATGACCGTTATATTTAATCTAACGGTCTATATAAAAAGTGTGGATCAATTTTCTTGCTCCATAGGGAGCAAGAGATTAGGACTATATATATATATATATATATTATTTTTACTTCTTGGTAAGTGAGAAGTTTTAACTTTTGTTGTGTTGTTTTTTTACCCAAAAATAAATAAATAAATAAATAAACGACCTCACTTGCAGAAGGAGGCCGGAACAAGCTTGGCAAAGTGAAGTAACTCTTGCTTTTGATGTTGGCTACCCTAATGATACTTGCTTGGGTTCTCCAGGATTCAGGGCTGGTATATATATATATATATATATATATATATATATATATACCAGCCCTGAATCCTGGAGAACCCACCCTGAATCCTGGAGAACCCAAGCAAGTTTATATATATATATATATATATTGTATTAGGAGGTTTCATGGTCATGATATATTTCTTTTGTCGAAATTCACGGTCACGAAACCTCTCTTGCCGAAATCTAATAATTTATAACAAATATCTTATGTATATGTGTATTATACGTGAATAAGTTGTAGTAGTAAGAATTACTATAATAATTAATAATTTTCTTTATTAAATTTGATTCTTGTAGAGCAAGAGGCCACCTTTAATCCCATAAATAGAAAATTTTACAAAAATTTGAGGGACAAGCATTATAAAAATTAAAAAAGGGTTAAAATCACAAAAATAAAAAACCATCTTTTGTCAAAATTACAAAAAAATCCCTTTAAGTTTGTCTTCTCCCTCTTCCCCCACGCCTTTCTTAAGATCTCAGTCAACATGGTTAAGATATGGTCCATATCTCAGTCAACATGGCTGAGGAAGTTTAAAGGAAAAGAAGGGAAAGTTGTTTTCGTTTGGAAATGAAGGGGGAGAGGAATTTGTGGGAGGATTTGGGGGAAAAGAACCATAGGATTTGATGTGTATCCTTGTTTTTATGTTTTCTAGTCTCATAAAAAAACTGTATTTGTTTTTTGCCTTCTCAGTGAAGCCAAATAAATATGATAGAGGAGTTAGCATTATTTCTGTAATAAATATATGTGTGTGTATATATATATATAGAATAATAGTTATTATAGAAATAAAAAAACTTTTACACAGAGAGATGGGGAGAGAGAGAACGAAATAGACACACAGAGAGAATGAAAGCTTCAATTTTGATCTCTGAAAATAGTAGACATTCAATGCCTTATATAGGCTCGTAGTGTAGCTTCCCATGTACGCCATTTTGGTATCTTCTCTTATAAGCCTCCAAAGCCATCTTTCTTTACAAGCCTCAAAACTTATGATTACATGGATGACTTAATGAATTCGTGGACCCCACACAAGTGTGCATATATATATATAACACTCCCCATTGGGGTTCACAAAACTACACTAAGAATATACCTCGTTAAAACCTTGCTAAGGAAAACCCAGTAGGACAAAACCCTAGCAATAGAAAAAGAGTACAGTATTCTTATTTATCTTGAAAATGGTATTGCATAGATTAAAAACTGTCTCTTTAAAGCATTGCCAGGAAAACCCAGTGGGACAAAACCTGAACGAAAAAAAAAGAGTACAGTATGCCAATACCTCTTTAATCAATTGCTCCCCCTCATTAGATCAACCCTTAAGATCCTTTAGTTGACGCATTCCAATGTTGTGCACCAGCTTCTTGAATGTTGTAGTTGGAAGCGTTTTAGTGAATAGATCTGCTAGATTTTCACATGAACGTATCTTTTGAATATTAATATCACCCCTTTTTTGGAGTTCATGTGCATAAAAGAATTTTGGTGAGATGTGCTTGGTCCTGTCACTTTTAATATACCCTTCCTTATGCACCATTGAACATTGCAATCACTAGTTCACCAAAGCAGGTCCAAGAGACTGGCATTGCCTCTATAGGGTCACATATACTGTAACACAACCATTGTCGAAATTTAACCAACATTTGCATTTTTTCTTTACAATAACATGCAATATTATCTAATCCAATCTACAAATGTGATTTGAACCTTTAATTTGTGGTATGTGACAACAATAAGAAAGTGGTTTAATGCTTTTATGGCTTCTCACAAGTAATTTACAAATTATAATGAAATTTTGCCCTTTGCATATTCCACTCATGAAACAAAGGAACTTCTTATATTATGATGTGGCATCCTTCGTTTCTCATGTGATGTGGTATCTTAATCTTATGTGTATCGTCATTTGGCAATTGCAACAATTATAGGGCACACACAAAGGCATACTTGTCTACCAGTAAAAGTTTGTGCAATTTATCATTTAGAGTGTGCGTTTGTGTGGCAGGCGGCAGAGCTTCTAGTGCACCCTCACCTTCAGCCTTACGTTCTAAAGATTCAACACAAAATTAACAGCCCCAGACGCAATAGTTTATCAGTCAGCTGGCGGTCGGAAACCAACTACATGAAAAAAACTAGATTTACAGAGCCAGAAGATGTTCGTCTTACCACGTACAGAGAGAAAAGGCAGTCATTCAGCAATGATAGGACTTTGAATCCAAGTGTATCTGGAGCTGAGCAAGATACAACATTTGATAAGAAAATTACTCCAAAAGCTTCAGATATTGTCAAGGCTCCAAAATTGACTCCAAGGAATTCTCCTGCTACTCCTAAGAAACTAGCAGAGCTGTCAAAGAATCGCGAATCGGTAAGATTACAGATAGTATTATATATATATTTCTGTGTGTGTGCATATACATATTTAATTATTTTGTTTCTGCTTCGTGTTACCTAGTTATTTGATTTAGTTAATGGATATATATTGAAACGATACAGGTGCATTGATTTACCTGACCCTCTTAGTTGAAATGCCAATATATCTGGTTTTTGAAAAAAAAAAATCTGACTAGTTTTGTGTTGTATATTTTGAACTATTTCAATTGTCGTGTGGCTTAACTGATCGCAAATGAAAATGGGAAATATATGTATATCAATTTAGCTAATTTAAATCGATATATAGAAAATTTCATTCATTTTTTATATTGAATTGTTTCTGTTGCATATTTTAAATTCCTTACTTTGCTTGTTACGCTTAGGTTTCAGGATACCTTGGCGTCTATTTGCTCCTTGAGCCTGAAATAACTGTGTTTTAGAATGAGTCATTCACATGGTGCATTTAGAAGCAAAATTTAATTTTTATGCTAAATTTATAAATGTTCCCTTTTGGAAAAAATATTGTAAACTTTAAATATAGAGAGTGAGGGAAGAAGAGAGGAGGAAATAAAGAGAACATGATAGAATATTGCCGGGAAGATTGAAGGTATGATGATATGTTGACTTGAGAATATCTTCTTTTCAAGAAGCAGAAGCAAATAAAACTTGCAATCTAAAATGGGGGGGAAAAAAAAAAGAAGTAAAAATGAATTTAGATTGCATCTTAAAGGTAAGTTAAACTGTTAAAGTTGAAGAAAATGTTGTAATACCAATTGGTAAAGATTACATTTTGGAAATGCCATTCTAGCCACACCCATCATTCAGTATTAACAAAACTAAATAAAATAAATTGTCCCTATTATTTCAGTTAGTTACATGAATCATATTTTGCCCCTTTTTTTATACTAAAGAATTCAACTATTTTTAAATAAAATTTATTTCTCTGTTTTTCTTTTTGAATTTCAAATCTTCTTTCTCTTACCTGTATTATTTCTTTGATATTAACATCTAAAACTGTTAATGTAGGTTGTGATGATCTCTTCTGGCGTATATTTTGTAGTCATTGCATGTTAAATGATCTACTCTTCTGGTTAGAAAAAAAAATAAAAAATCAAGTTGACTTTTTTTATTTCACTTCTCAAGGTTATTAAATGTTGTTCTCTCTTAATTAATAGAAATTTGCTATCATAAGATTATATGTTACCACAAAGGATAGCCTAGTGATGTTCATATCTCCAAATTTATTCAATCAACACAGCATCTCATGTGGTTTACAATCTTTTTCTATTCTACGTGACTATTATATCTCTTCTTTGATCTTTCTTGGATTAATACTTTTATGTGCTCGCGAAATTGTGCTTGTTTAGTACTAATTGGGATTCCCAAGTATTAACTATATTAACAATACTCTTTCTTGGTAACAACTTTAGTAGATGTTAACTTCTTTTAAATTCTTATCAATTATTATTCCCTTAGTGTGTAATACCACTACCACCTCCACCCTTTTACCCATCAATGCTCCTATACTACTGTGATACTCCCGGATTTCTGGATGCGGGTTGGCCAGGCCCATGCCCGAATACCCGAGGATATAAAAAATAAATCAGTAATAATCGAACACAGAATATAAAATAGATAAAAAAGAAGAAATAAATTTCTGAAAGAAAACTAAAATGATAATCCATTAATTGAAACCTCAGAATAAAATTTCATTAAATAAATAAATATTCTGATATATCCAATCCTCCAAATAAATACAACTCGGGAATCCATACTAAGTGGACCCCTAGAAAATCCCAACTGAACAAGTGACAACAATAATTGTCTACGTCAGAACACTGGAACGTAAAAGAAACTCCTATGTAGATAATCCGGAAGAATGAAGTAGACTGATCCCTGCTTAGCACAAACAATTTTTACACCTGACGAATACCTAAAAAATAATGGTGGGTCAGACTCACAAACAAGTTTTACTCTACTACAATCCAAGCAGAGACCCGATACACGTATACATTCTAGTTAATCCAACAATAGTTATGTAGTCCATATATATATATATACACACTAAGGGACTCTCACTAGACTACAAAGCGGTCTCAACTTGATTAGTAGGTAACATGTAAAATGCACCTGAAGTGGGCATGAGTATATAGACCTAACAGGGTACACCACTAACCATCATAGCCAGCTATGCATCCCACTGCATATACGCTCCCTAACCATGATCCTGAGACTCAAGCTCATATCATAGCTCATAACTATATATATATATAAAATCCATCCTAATTCAAAACATAAAATAAACATCCGTCATGTCATCCAACTGATTCCGTTGACCTGACATGAAAATATGTAGGATTTAACATTTTAGTTAATTTATTCCGTTAGGTAGGACTTAACGTTTTAGTTAATCCGTCCCTAATATGCCACTATCGCATACTGGTGCATATAATGCATATGATTCATAAATGATGCAACATCCAAAGTAATACATCAAATAAATCCACAGTTGATGTAATAGTTATAATATTACATCAAATAAATTTAGAATTAAGCATAATAAGATCAGACCAAATCCATGACCATATTATTCTGCCAATATATGATTAAAATCATATAATATCCATATTAATTGCTAAGTTATTTTTAAGCAATTAATTCCTCCATTCCATCTAATAATTGATGAAGAAATATGTAAATACAACATCAATTACATCCAGAGATAAGCATAATAACAGTGAGACAATAACTTAGTTTATTACTGCTAATACATGATAAACATTATATAATATCCATGAACTTTCTTAGAACAATTTCAATAATTAATTAATCATTAATCAATATGCAAATTTAACTGAAATTTCATATTAGTCACTTCTATCACCTATAGGTATGGATTAAACATTCTAGGATTTTAACATGTTCATTGTAGTCATTTAAACCATCCATAATACCCTGCACAGCCCTGGAACACCCAAAACCTCAAAACAGTAGCCGAAAATCCCAAAATATTAAAGTAGCGGCGAGAGCAAGCTTTGTCCTCGTGAGAGCAAGCTCTCGTCTTGAGGGAGCAGGCTCTCAACTTCATAGAGTCGGCTCTCTCCCTCTGATAGTCGTCAAAATAATTCCCTTTTGGGAGCCTGCTCTCACCCCTTGGGAGCCGGCTCTCAACCTGTTCTGCATCATCTTCCTCGTCTCCAACGAATTCTAATCCCTCTGTTCTCCATTGTTGATTGTCCTAAGAGTTTGAACTAAGTCCCGAATCATTCTAGTAATTTATATAAATCAATTATGCATCATTAAAATCAATTAAAACAAATACTCATGGCATAAATTGCAAGATCAATCAATTACAAATAAATTCATCTAACATTGATTTAAATCATAATTAGCATGCATAATAGATCAATTTAAAGTCTGATTAGTTCATGGAATTAACTTAGGCCTGTATAGAAACACGAAGTCTAAGGGAAGGAGTAAGTAGAAGAACTTGCCTCTAGGTTTCGAAATGAAACCTTCTCTTCTTCTTCCTTGGTTTTCCGGCGACCTTGGTTGCCGTCGAACCCTATCAAAATCCATCATTTAAAAAAATTAAATAAAACAAAATAGAACATAAATCCATTATTTTATTTTAATCCTAACAATTAATTACAATTAAATCACACCTCATTTAAGCAAGTAAAACATCCAATTAATACACCACACAAGCACCCAATTAAATCAAATAAATCACATAAACAATTAAGACAAATAAGCATATAATCATGTAACTACATAAGCACATAATCACGTAAGCACATAAAATACGATAAACTAACTAATTAAATCCCTTTTATATCCTTTTGAAAACTGGGGATATTACAACTACCAAGTCTCCGTTCTATGCCTACTTTCTTAAACTAACTTCTTTATACTTGCTCGTTTATAATAACGAGGGAGTCGTTGCCTGCTCTTCACTTTATCCTAATATGAATGTGTCTTAGGGTGTGGGTATTAATGATGCATTATAAGCAACGACTGCTTGTTCATTTAACCTGCTTAAGCATTCCATAGTCACCACTTGCTGGATTTGATCTTTCACTTCACAAATATGGAGCTTTCCAACAGTACTAAGCTCTAAAATTTCCTTCTTTCTTGGGTCAGTCAGTTTTTATGGTTTTATTCTTATATGGTATATGCTTATATTTGCAGTTTCAAGCTTCACGAACTCCAGCCAAAAAAGCTGTTCCCACAAATCGTAGAGCATCATTGCCATTTCCTACAAGAGCTGCAGTTGAAGGATCACCTTGCACGCCCTATATTGGAATTAACTCTCCGGATGTTTCTGTCAATTCCCCTCGAATTGACAGGATTGCTGAATTCCCAATGACCTCATATGAAAGTCCCTTCCTCCCTGTTCGTAGAACTTCATCAACCTCTGCACAAGGCTCAAACTCACCACCACAAGGCGACCATTCGATCTTGAAGGATAAATGTATGGTTCAGGTGTGCAATAGAACCTTTGGCAGGCTGAGTTTCACCGATGCTTGGCAGGGAATGGAAGGCACGGCATGCAAGTTGGATGGGGAGGACATTGGAAGTGAGGGCTCTAATCAAAATGCTACAGCCGGGGCATCAAGTCGAACCTCATCAGACTTGCGCCGCAGGCGATTTGACACCTCATCTTACCAGCAGCGAGCTGAGGCTTTGGAAGGGTTGCTTGAATTCAGTGCAAGGCTGTTGCAAGACGAAAGGTTTGACGAATTGGGGGTGTTATTGAAGCCGTTTGGGCCAGGAAAGGCTTCTCCCAGAGAAACTGCTATCTGGTTGACTAAGAGCTTCAAGGAGAACACAGTGAAGCAGGAAGATCAATGCCAAGAACACCTGACACAGGTACTTTAATTGTTGCTGTAACAAATTATAGAGTTTACAGATTTTATTATTGGCATTGAGATAGGCAATATGGATTTGATTTTCGGAAAAAGGGAATGAAGGAATAGGATTTTTTTTTTTTTTGAATTTGTATGTAGGTAATCTGACATGGGCATTTAGGATTCTGTAGAGGCTACAAAGCAAATGCCAGACTTCTTTTCTTTTGCCCGTTTTCTTAATTCTGTGTTATGTTTGGGAGCGCAATACATCCTCCAAATTTGAAGGTGCTGAATGAAATTTATGTGAGAGGGTGTGGGTCCAACCACAAAATGTCAGAGTGATATCATGAGGTGGAGTCCCCTCACAACGCCATCATCTTTTGAATTCCGAAAATGTTTCATTTTTCTTCCTTTAATTCTATGTTTTCCTTGCTTCCCTATATTCGCTAGTTTTTAAAGAGGGAATGATGGTAACAAGAAGTGCAGGCTATGTTCATTTTTCTCCCATGTAGTTCTATATCTCTTGGCGGCACATTCCCATGTAGTTCTAAATCTCTAGGCGGCGACGGCGACTGCGACTTGGCTTTCTTGGCATCCATGACGCACAAACAAATAGAAAGCGAGCAGAAAAAGATAACAGAAAAGACGACCAAAAAAAATCCATAAAATGTAGCAAACCAATCTTCTTTAATATCATGGTTTGGATCTTTAATATTTTGTAAGAGATGTACTTGTTCCACAAAACTCTTAATAAACCACACGAACAATACTATACAGGCGACCCATACACAATGAAAAACACAATGAAATACCAAAACTCGCTATTAATCATCCAATCACTAGTACTCCTGGACCCGTCCTCCGAGTTAACATCCTCCATGTCCTCTGCAAAATTACAAAATTAAAAATTTATTACTCACAAACAAACAAAACAAAAATCACTCTTAAGTGTCTCCTTAATATATATATATATATATATATATATATATATATATATATACACACTACAAAGGAAGGATAATCCTAATCCATTTTGACCCCAGAAAAAGATAATCTCAATCCAATTAGGAGAAGTCAAACTTCCTTTTCCTTTCTTGTTTTGAAACGTACAAGAACAACACTGATTTATTTATTGATTTATTTATTATATATATATATTATTTTTACTTTTTGGTAAGTAAGAATTTTTAACTTTTGCGCTGTGTGTGTTTTTTTTTACACCCAAAAAAAATAAAATAAAAAATAAAAAATAAAAGGAGGAGACCTTACCTGCAGAAGGAAGCCGGAACAAGCTTGGCAAAGTAAAGTAACTCTTGATTCCTGAATTAATGGCTTCAGTCTCGTAGGGCTGGAATATATATATATATATATATATATATATATATATATATATATATTGTATTAGGAGGTTTCATAGTCACGCTCACGAAATCTCTCTTGCCGAAATCCACGCTCACGAAATATCTCTTGCCATAATAATTTTAAACAAATATCTTATGTATGTGTGTGTATGTGAATAAGTTGTAGTAGTAAGAATTACAATATTAATTAATAATTTTTTTTTAACAAAATTTGATTCTGGTAGAGCGAGAGGCCACCTTTAATCCCATAGATAGAAAATTTTGCAAAAATTTGAGGGACAAGCATTATAAAAATAAAAAAGGGTTAATATCACCAAAAAAAAAAAAAAAAAAAAAAATCTTCTATCAAAATCGTGCACAAAACCTCCACTAGAATCAAATAGGTCGACCCATTAAATGAGTTGTGAAATGTCAAATTTACTGTTATTCATTGGGTATGTGTAAGAACCTACAAAACCATTAAAAATAAAGTATATTCAGATAAAATAAAATTTGAGAGATAGAGATAGTCAGAACGTTTCTTTCCTTATTTATTTGGATATCTTTAGCAAGAAAATATTAACGATTTAGGTAATTACGTTTTTTTTTGGTATCTTTAACAACATAAAGAAAACAGGACGATTTGATCGGAAAGAGTATCATTACTCTCTCTAGTCACAAAAAAAACTTTCTTTATATGAAAGAGGAGTTAACATTATCATAATGCCCCAAAACTCCAGGTCTAGGAATCATGACATTTTAGTTATATTGTCTCACGAAATCTCTTTTGCCGAAATTCACAATCACGAAATATATATATATATATATATATATATATATATATAGAGTCTTGATCTCTTGCTCCCCATGGAGTAAGAAAAATAATCCATACTTTCTATCTAGAAAAATAATCCACACTTTCTATCTAGACCGTTAGATTAAATCTAATGGTCATTTTACAAATCCACCTATGATATTTCCTTTTAACACAAAACCACCCTCACCATATTTTTAGTTTCTATAATTAATTTTATCATTACCACCCACTGTAACAATAAAAGGTAATTATCAAAATAAAAATAGAAACCTTTGAAAAAAAAATCTATTCCCGTATATTTTACTAATAAATTTGTTTTTATTTAAATATTTCTTTGAAAGAAAAACAATACCCATATATTGCTAAGAGGCTTGATAGTGTCTGTGGTGCCTGGTTTTTCTTCAGTTTTTATTTTAAACCAACTTTGAATGAGAAATCAAAGAGTAAGATCACTTGGGAGAGTAATGGGGTTAGTGGGTATGATAAATTAGACTTAAAGCTTGATGTTTTCATGGTTCTGCATGATATAGAGAATATGCATATATGGGTTTTCAAGGAGAGGTCTAAAAATGTATTGAAAAAGATGCAGCTGAGATGTTAAACGGTGTGCACGATTCTGGAATTTAGAGGTGTTTCATGTTGTTTCATAACCAAAACTTTCATGAAAAGAAGTATTATTGTTATAGTTATTTGTGCGTGTATGTGTGAATAACAATATTATACAACTGAATAATTGAACCATATGACATTGACTTTATTCAAAATTGTTAAAGCTTAAACTAAATAAAATGAAAACAAAAAATTTAATCTCTTCATAAAGCGATGAAACTTAACAAAATTTAAAAACATTTAATCCTCGAAGCCTTAAAGTAAACTCTTCCACGACAAATAAAAGTAAAGCTACAGGAATTAATTTTTTTTCAAAGATTTCTATTTTACCTTTTATAATTACCTTTTTATTGTTATAGTAGATGGTAATGGTAAAATTAATTATAGAACTAAAAATAGGGTGATAGTGGTTTTGTGTTAAAAGGAACGATCATGGTTGGGTTTGTAAAATGACTGTTAGATTTAATTTAACGATTTATATAAAAAGTGTGGATTATTTTCTTGCTCTATGGGGAGCAAGAGATCAGGACTATATATATATATATATATTCGGCGAGAGAGGTTTCGTGATACTATATATATATTTTTGTGAGACTATCTATAATATATATATAGTATCACGAAACCTCTCTCGCCGAAATCCACTCTCAGGAAATCTCTCTTTCAACCACAACCCCAGCCAATCAAGTATATAACCCCAGCCAATAAAGTATAAACGACAGGAAGAAAAATTGGAGGTGATTAATTGTCTCCTATGATTATGTAAAAATATAAATTTATAATATAAAAGTGTCATTTCTCTTATAATATGAAAGTGTTATTTCTCCTCAGTTGAATGGCGCGCGCACACGCACGCACGCACGCACGCACACTAGTAAAACACGAAACTGAGACGAGATAAAAATATATAATTTTAAATTAAACATTATAATATGAATTCAATTATAGATAGGTGCATTTTCAAACCCTTAAAACAATATCAAAATCAAGACTATTTTTTATTACAATCTACTAATATTTTATTTATTTATATATTAAAAAATTATTTATATATTATTTATAAAATTTGAAAATATGTATAGAATAAATAGACTAAATTATTTATATTTTTTTATATAGTTCCTTTATCTATTTCCTTGTCTAATTAGAAAAACTAAATTATTTTTTTTCTAAGTATATTTTCTTATCTAATTAGATTTCCTTTTATTAAAAAAACTCATAATAAATAGGTAATTTGATTTTTATAAAAACTCTTCTAATTTGAGTTTTATAGAAACTCTTCTAAACATCTTATATTAATTTTAAAATAAAAACTCATAATAAATAGATAATTTGTGTTATTTTAAAAGGAAACTTACATACCGAACATATAAATTTATTATTAAAAATAATATACTATTGCGTGTGAGTAAAATCTAATTTAAAATCAATATTTAATTAAGTAATTAAATAATTCTAAATTCTAAAATAATTGACACAAGGTAAAAGAGATAAAAAAATATAATTTTTAATTAAAATTTACAATAGAAATTCAATTATTGATAGATGTATTTTCAAACTACTAAAATAATATCAAAATCAAGGCTATTTTTTATTACAATTTACTAATATTTTATTTATTTATATATTATTTATAAAATTAGAAAAGATGTGGAGACTAGATAGACTAAATTATTTATATTTTTTATATGTTTCCTTGCCTAATTATAAAGACTAAATTAATTATTTTCTTTATATATTTCCTTAACTAATTAAATTTAATTTTATTAAAAAATCTGATAATAAATAGGTAATTTGAGTTTTATAAAAATATTAAATTATTTATATCTTTTATATATTTCTTTGTCTAATTAGAAAGACTAAATTATTTATTATATATTAATATATTTTCTTTATATATTTTCGATCAGTTAACCAAACCGATTCGATTCGACGTTACCTCAATTATATATTAATATTACATATATATACATATATTTATTGTATTTCTTTTTATTTATTTATTCATTATTTAAGACTTTAAGTAACCCCTAGGTCACCAAAGTCATTAGTCATTACAAGTTTTTTAATTACTAATTTGAAATTTTAATGGGCAGTAAAGTGTAATCATATTGGGCTGTTTGAAAAACTCAATCCATGAAAACAGAACCGATTCGATCCATTATTTCACGGATCAATTTGGTTCGGATTGATCCCCACGTATCGGTTCGGTTTCAAATTTCACCAATTTGTGAGGACTAAATTGAATTGAACTTTACCTTCAAACTGAACCGATCCGATCCATAATCAACCTTAATAATAATAATATTGTGATAATGGCCGGAGGCCAGACCAATTAAAACAAATTTAGGATGAATTAGTTAGATATAATTCATAAATAAATAAATACAAAAAAAAAAATAAAAAATAAAAAATAAGGCATGAATACAATAAAATAAAAGGTAAAGTGCATAAAATTCACCTGATCTATTAATCAATTTCACAAAACCAACCTAAATTAAGAACTGTCCCTTAAATTATTAAAAAAGTGCAGTTAAGAACAAAACGTCAAGTTGTCAAAATATGATTTTAAGTAGATAAATAATACTGGATTTCTTAAAGGCTATTTATTTTTATTTCAGATTATAATAAATCCAGTCCAAGCTAACTATGTTTATATAATTTTATGGCATTTGAAAATAAAAACACCCCAAGTCCCACTTACTCTTTGTTTGAAAATTTGGAATGCAGGATTTGATGGGATTTGGATTTGGAACGATGGTCTGCCTTGTTTGGAACCACATAATCAGACCATTATGGAATTTCAAATACCTTTTTAATTGCGTTCCAAATCCAATCTAATAATATAAGATTTGACTAAATTTGAGAAATAAATATCTATTAATTATATATTTCCTTAATTAACCCTCCATCATATTCCTCTTATTAAACCCTTCTTCTTATTAAACCCTACCCTATAAATTATTATTAAACCCTACCCTATAAATTATCTAGTACCATATCTCATTCTCTAAAGATTTCCTTCCTCTTCTCTTATTTAACTAAATCCATGTTACCCCAAATCGTTCTAGTGGGGTCGTCGCGCAGGAAAGCACCAGCCGGAATAGTTTAAACAGAGTTCCAGGAAAGCACTAGCCGGAATAGTTTAAACAGAGTTACCCGGAGAATGAACTTCGGGAGGTAAAGTAGAAATGAATATGATAAAATATAATAAAGTAGTCAAAATGAATGAACACGTTCAATAAAAAAAGATTTATTCTTTTTTCCCGATTCTTTTTTTTTTTTTCTTACGACAAGACAATCAAATCTGGATTCGCATATATTTTGAACAAAACATCAATATAACTTCTACTTTTCTTGTTTGATTGTTGGGAAAAGATAGGTAAGAAAAAACACCCAATGTTGATACCCTCAATGTGAATCCTCTAGCTCATTCTTATTGTGACAAGCTCTACTCTCCACCTTAAGTCTATGATTTAATGCAGTCCTCTACCCTAGTGGAAGCAGAATGGGTTCGAGCTCAATACTCCATATGATCAACTCTTTATTATGTTACCAATCCACCTCAATCCTAGGCATATTGATAGAAAAGAGATAGAGAGATAATTATGTTACGT